AAACTCCCAGAATCTCAGGATTAGTCTCCCATCCAAGTACTAACCAGGCCCGAGCCTGCTTAGCTTCCGAGATCAGACGAGATTGGGCGCGTTCAGAGTGGTATGGCCGTAGACAGGATTATAGTCAATAGGATAGAATAAGCTATTTTATGTGCTCAGCTATGCCCAAGAAGATATTTTGAAAAGCATATTATTACAGAGTTTGAGATTAGTCCATTGGAATCCCCTAAGCCTTTCTTTCACTACACAGGTAACTAGCAGGTCCAGAGGTACAATCATTCATTTCAAACTGTGAATTTAGAGCAGAAATCTAGTACATTTATTTCATCAGCACAAGCAACTTGGGAATATTTCATATTCAAATACACTGAAGTGAAGATATTTAGAGCCCAAAGCTGTCTGAGTCCCATTATCCCTTGAAAACAGTCTATATTCCTTTGAATATAGCTTTCCTCAGCTCCTGTCCTCCATGACTCCGCAAAGTTTGAAATTAATAAGTTCAGGACTACCTCTTACAGAAGAGACTTAGCAACCACCACTCAAGTTAGCTTCACTTACTGTTCTTTAAAAAGTGTGACTATCTGTATATTACTTAGAGAGTAAAACCTCAACCTGAAACATGTGAGGAGGGGGCTGAGGTTGTCCTAGCTGAGGGTCACGTATGCTCTGCTGGCCCTGTAGCCTAAAAGGGCAGGGGCAGAGTTGAATGTGCTGTTTATTTGAACCAAACCTAGGTATAAGTTTATTTGCCTGTACTTGCTATTTCTTCTGAAATTAAAGACTAAAATTTCTTGGTAATTAAAACTGTTTGCATATTTAGATTCTATTATGCTATCATACAAAGGCATGTAATTCTGTTTTTCATTAGTACAAATTAGTTGTACGGGAGGGTTTGTTGTGACATCTCCACATATGTGTACAACATACCCTATTTGGTTCACTTCCTCCATTATTCTTCCTCTTGCCATTCTTAAAACGGCTTCAACAAATTTCAGTGCTGTGCATTCATATATGTATAGAAATACGCCAACTGTATTCACCCTCCTTTACCCTCCTCCTCCTCCCGTCAATACCTTCCCTTAGCATGACCTGTTTACATTTCTGTCCTTCATTTTTTAAGTGTCTGTTTATTGTTCAGTGGGGGTTTCACCTTGGTATTTTACCTATAAATATATTGTTGATTACCACTTTTGTTGTTTTTATTTTTTAAAGATGGCCTCACTGTGTAGCCCAGGCTGGCTTCAAACTCACTATCCTCCGCCCGAACCTCTTGAGTACTGGGATTACAGAAATGTTACACAATTCCTCCCTAATTACCACTTAAAGGTCCCACCACTTCTTAATACCATTGAGGACCAAGCCTCAACATGCGTTTTGGCAGGGACAAAGCATATCCTTTGCCTGCTCACCCTATGTGGAGCGATGAATCAGGGACAGAATGAGTGCAATAGACATTGCTAATCAAAGAGCAAGAAGAGCAGGGCAGTCACTGATCTGTAGGGTTCTGGAGTCCAGCCTGCACCTGTTGCCAGTTTTCCCTTACTGTGAGGCATGGTGGACCCTTGTTGAGGGTCTGTCTCTGCACATCTTTCCTCCTTCACAGGAGCCCTGCAGGATTCTGTCACAACTGAGATGCTTGCAATGTGGAGTGCAGCAGGTCTTTCCCTGGGTGCTGCTCCCACAGTACTCTCCACCAACATGGGTTTTACTTGTGTCACGAGGTTTAAAGATAGGAAACCCATCAACTAATGATGCCTCGTCTTGAAGTTTTTAATCTTTTTGTCTTGCTCCTCCCCATTTAAGCCTGTGGTTTGAAGCAATTCAGATTGGTTGTATCTACCATGGATAGTCAGCCAGTGTGAATGCAGATGGCCAGTTCCATGGTGGGAGATGTCCAGACCTTACCCCTTCCTTCATCCAAGCTGGGCAGTGTTCATGGAGGCTAAGCTTGCCTAATGTGGCAGGCTCTTTTGGGGGAGGGCGGAGGTGAGTATTGTGGATGGCCCCCAACTGTGCCTGCCAGTCCTTCTTCCCATCCTTAGTTACACTCACTGCGTCTCCTGTGAAGATGTGGTCTTTTCCTTTTCTTGAATGTAGAACAGCCCACAACTTGTTCTGACAAGTGGCAGCAGCGATGTTGTATCAGTTTGGGGATATTAAATCATGGTAGAGATTATTACTAAAAACTGCTATAAAATCTGAATAAAAATTGTGGCAAAATAGTCTGTATTTCTGTACAATTCTTCCCACAGTCTCTTATTTAAGCTTTTAGAATATATTTAAGTGATCATTTAAGAGAGTTGGTGTATAGTTTGCCACCCACATATACGTTAACTTCTGTGGTGTCCTTATCCAGTCTTTGTCCATATGTAGGTATGACTCATTTGTCACTGTGTCTTGTACAGTTTGTGATCCATTTTAAAGATAAGAACAGGGCTGGAGGTGCAGCTCAAGAGGTAGAGTGCCTGCTTTGCAAGCGTGAAGCCCTGAGTTCAAACTCCAGCCCTGCCCTCTGCCCCCCAAATTCAAACAATATTCAAGCAATTTTTTATAAGTAGAATTTTCAGTTGACTACACCTGTCCGGCTTACTTAGTAGTGCCTCTCTGCCTGGTCATTTTTATGATTTCCAGCATTCCTCGCTTACAAATAAGTGATACACAAATTCTCAGGGCTATGATTACCTAGTCATAGACAAATCCAACTTTGCAGTCTTGGAGATTTTGTGGTTTTCCTATATTTTTTGCCAGTTTTGTAGAAAACAGTTTCATTATTTAAAATGTATTTCTTAACCAGGCACCAATGGCTCACCCCTGTGGCTTAAACCTGTAATCCTAGCTACTCAGGAGGCAGAGATCAGGAGGATCACGGTTCAAAGCCAGCCAGGGGAAATAATTCCTGAGACCCTATCTCAAAAAGAACCCTTCACAAAAAAAAAGAGCTGGTGGAGTAGCTCAAGGTGTAGGCCCTGAGTTCAAACCCCAGTGGAGGGAACTTTTTTTTTTTTCCTCCCTCCCTCGTTGGAGTGAATTTTTTCTCTTGCTCCTGGTTATTACTTAACCTAACTGGCTTAACTGGGGGAGACTAGAGATTCAGAAAAGACAGAAAGTGGAGTCAGGTGTGTTGGGGGCTGGGGTGGAGATGCCTAACCCTCACTGCTTCTTTTCTCTATCTTTATTCTTTAAGGCCTACTCCTTGCAGTACTTTAAAACCTTGCTTCTAAAGTCGTCTTTAAAACCTTGCTTAAAAATAGTTTCTGCTGGGTATTGAGGGGGCAGAATGGGTGGTAAGGGGGGGGGGCAGGGGGGAAAAATGACCCAAGCCTTGTATGTACATATGAATAATAAAAAAAAATAAACTAAAAATAAAACCTTGCTTAAAACCTCTTTCCTTAGGCTTGCACTGTCCCATGTTTTCTCTTAGCTTATCTTTGGCTTAATTGCTCTTAAAGTCTTTTGCCCTCTGGCTTGTACTTTTCTTTAGCATTCTCTCTTTATCTTTCCTAAAGCCTCTGTGCTCAGACTTTCAAAGTCTCGGTCGTCTGTCTTGCACTGTCCCATGCTCTCTTTGGCTTTGCTTTTCTAAGGCCTCTGTTAGAGTTCTCTGTGCAGACTTTCTCTCAACCCGTCTTTAGCCATTCTTTTCCCTTCAGCAATGTCCCTGCAATTCTTTTCCCTCCAGTAATTCTTTTCCCTTCCAAAAGCTTCCCACACCAAAAAGCCCAAAGCTAAAGCCCAAAGTGAAAGCCAAAGGCAAAAAGCAAAAGCCCCAGCCCTCCTTCAGGGCCTTTTATACCCAGAGGCAAACAGGGTGGAGCAGAGGCTCTCAGGGAGGGTGTGACATTGTCACAGGAGAAACCTGCCTCTCTGAAGGCAAGCTTGGGAGCTGTTCTGCTTTTTTCTGTCTTGTGGCCGGGGCTGTGCCTATCTTAGCCTACAACATAAAAAGCAATTAAGTTGTATCTTGTCTTGCTTATGTCCAGTTCTCATAGACTTTCCGTAATCTGCTCTCCACACCCTAGTACTGCCAAAAAAAAAAAAGTATATGTATGTAATAGATGTATATACATACACATATCTGTACGTTTTTTTGTACATGTACATATATATTTCTTTTTTTTAATTGTGCTGGGTTTGGGGTACATTGTAGCATTTACAGAGGTTCTTATGTATCAAATATATCATAGTTGAATTCACCCTGTCCACTGCTCTCTTTCATCATCCCCTCCCTCCCTCAATTCCTGGAACAGTTTCAATAGGTATCATTTTTGCATTTGTATACGTGCGTATACATTATTTGTACCTATTCATCCTCCACCCTTTCCTGGGTGGTGACCTCCCCTGTATATCTTAATCATTGGCAAGGTGGGGCTTTCCCTCCCATAGTTCTAATGCTTTGGTTTCCTCTAATGTAGATTAGCTCTTCTGTATTTCTTGTCTATTTATAGTGATAGATCATAACTCTTATTAGTCACACAATAATACTTTAGTGTATTATCTTCACTTTTTTGCTGATTCTGATTTTTTTGGCATGTAGAAATTTTTTTTTTGTTTGTTTGTTTTTGTTGGGACTGGGGTTTGAACTCAGCTTTGGTTTTGTGAAACAGGAGCTCTGCCACTTGAGCCACACCTCCAGTCCATTTTGCTCTGGCTATTTTAGAGATGAGGTCTTGAGAACTATTTGCCCAGAACGGCCTTGAAACCCTGATCCTCCCAATCTCAGCCTCCCAAGTAGCTAGAATTACAGGTGTGCCACCAGTGCCCCAAGGCATATAGAAACCTTTTTTTTTTTTTTTTTTTTGGCAGTACTGGGGTTTGAACTCAGGGCTTGCTGGGCAGGTGCTCTACCACTTGAGCCACTCTGCCAGCATATAGAAACTTTTGAAACCCATCAGAACATTTTATTTTCTGCCTTTTTTGGCAGACAACATTTTTCTTTCTTTTTTTCCAGTTTCCCTGGGGTGGTAGGTGATATTCTTATATTTGTTTCTCTCCTTTTCCAGGCACCCAACAGGAGGATCCTTCATTCGTCCAAACAAGGTAAATTTTGGAGTGGACTTTGTTACTGCTGTTAAGAACCGTTATGTGCTAGAAGAAGGACCTGAGGATGACGGAAGAGAACACATCATCATAATTGGAAGTAAACCAGTGGAAACTGTTGGTTTTGACTCTGTTTTAAAGCAGCAGAGGTGAGTGTTGCTGGTGTTGGTAGAGCTGATTTGCAGTGTAACACAGGTCAGGATTGAAGTTCTGACTCAGGACTTTGCTTCTACACTGCTTTATCCTTTCTATACAGACAGTGACTCAAAGTTGAGGAATCCAAGGGTTGAGAATTAAGAGTAATTAAAATCCTTGTTTTAGCACAGGGTTGGTGTTCTTTTAGGTTGGAATCCAAACACTGCCTTTACCCACTATTATTAATATTGTCCTCATGTTATCATGTGTTGACTAATACCCAGTCACTAAGGCTTGCACTTTTCTATTTCATGGTGTCATGTCCATCTACATAACAAGTGAAACATAGAAACAAGTCTGTCATCTGCATCATGAAGAGTGCAGGCGCCACCCAGGGAGTGGTTCTCTCCTCTCTCTGTGCATCTTTGTCACCTCGGGAGCTTGGGGACCCACAGAATACTGGGTCCCATCACAGACTGCTGATTCCAAAAGTTTGCTCTTAGTCCGTGCCAGTCTGAGACTGGGTCATGCCTTTTAACACTCAAGCACTAGAGCATTCTCTCTTTGACTCACTGCCATGAGCTGAATCCAAGAAAGGGGAAGCTGGTGTTTGCGCACACTCAGCCACAACTGAGCAGGAACCTGCCAGGTGATTCCACGTGAGTGATGGTTAGTGTTGTGTGAGTGACTTGGCAGCCACTGGGGAGAGGAGCTTTGCAGCCACTTGGAGCAGGTGCATATTTGTGACAGAATTAAGACGCAATTGTGTCCACAGAGATTTCTTCATTATTATTAGTTGCTGTACTACAGAATTAAAGGGCAGATAAGGGAGTTGTTAGAATAAATTTATTTCTTATCACCTGTTTTTTAACATAGCTGGCCATCATTAAAAGTATCTCAGAAGAAGTAAAAATTTAGGACAAAGCAACAACTTGCCTTTTTTTTTCTTTTCTTTTTTTATTTTTTGGTGATACTGGGGTTTGAACTCAGGGCTTTGTGATTGTGCTCTGCTGCTTGAGCAGTGCCTCCACCCCTTGACTGTTTAATTATATAACAATGTATGTTTATTGTTTAGAATTCAGAAAATGCAAATTGAAGAAAAGACAGTCACAACTAATGCCACTTTCTAGATAGAAGGACCTTGAACTGTTTATTTACTCTTACTTACCAACTTGCTTGAATGTAAACAGCAATATATTCATGGGTTAGAGTTCATTTAGTTTTTCCATTTAAAATACAAGTATTTAAATGTCTTTTACCCAAAAGGGGCACTTTGTTTTTGTGGTGTTAGGGGCATTTTTTTAAATGTTAGTTACTATGGGCTCTGTGAATATTAACAAACTGAAAACAGATTTTCTTCCCTTGGTTTATTAATGACCACATAACTCATGATGATTTTCCTGATGAATGACCCTAAGACTTGAGCATCATTGCATTTAATATTTGGCCAGGGCCTTTCTTGATCAAAAAGTTAGATGGTAGAGATTGTAGAGAAATCTCTTACATTGGCTACAGGTTGGTAAATTAAGAAATGGAGAGGCAGCTTGGTAGAGTGGATCAGCACTGGAGTCAGGCCTCTTCAACTCTGAACAGCTGTGGATGTTCAGGTTAACTATCACTGCTAAGCCTCCTTTACTCACTACAAAGTAAAGCCCAAGATGGTAGTCCAGTGTGGATAACAAATGAGATTGTACGTGACTGGTACCCCTCCTTTAGGAATTGAAGTCTCCAAGTCATTGTTTTACCTTTTTAGTAACACCCAGCTGACCAGCTTTGTGTTTATGCCACTAAGGAAAGGCTTCTCTGATAAAGGAATCAAAAGCAAATAAGATCTGGTCTGTACCCTTTCTCCTGGAGATGGCTTTGGCATTGGAATGATCCCATGAGACCTGGCTCCCTGCCCAGATGTCCCAGCAGAGCATCTTTTGAATTGTAGGGGAAATAGTGACTTCTGTCAGACACAGTTGCAACTATTAGTTTGCAGTAGTTCAGTTTCATGAAATGCCTACTGGTCCTTTTGACAATGTCATGTTCCTGCAAAGCTGTGTTTTGGGCAGCTGCTGTGACAAAAAGCAAGTACCTCCTAAAAAATCCCTGTGGACAGGAAATGGAGGTGGAGGTGTCCAACCTAGTTCCAGACTTAGGGAAGTCTCGAAGTCCTGGCAGATGTTAAGTTGATAGCACATATGTCATCTTGACATTATTTGGCCCAGGCACATATTGGAACTGGGAGGTATTTGTTTTGACCTAGCAGCATCATGAAAGATCACTGAGATTGCTCAGGTCCTAGTGAACAGAGAGAGTGTGGGCATCTCTGCTACAAGTTATTAACTCACTACATTACTGTAGTATCTTAGAAAATTGTAGTAGCAGAATACATATAGCAGAAAATTTACCCTTTAACCTTTTATAAGTATATAGTTCACTGGTGTTAATTATGTTCACGTTGTGCAGCCAGTCTGCAGCTCTTTTCATTACCCTAGACTAAACTTGGTCCCCTTTATACACTAAGTCCCTATTTCCTTCTTCTCCCAGCCCTTGGCAACCACCATTCTGCTTTCTACTACCAATTTGCCTACTCTAGGAACCTCACATAAGTACTCATTCAGTATTTGCCCTTTTGTGACTGGCTTATTTCACTAAGCATAAGTCCTTAGGGTTCACCCATGCTGTATCATTTGTCAGAATTTACTTTATTTTTAAGTCAAACTCTAGTCCACTGTATGTACATAACGCATTTCGTTTACTATTCGTTGCAGACACCTGGGTTGTTTCTACCTTTTGGTTACTGTGAACAAGGCTTCTGTGCTCATTGTGTAGAAGAGCATTTTAAAAACATGGAGTCCGATGCACAGAGATTTAATTAACTTGCCTACTACCAAAGGAGGTGGCAGAATAGGGATCTGAACATCCTTGTTATAACATCATCAAATTTTTGAATTCTTTTTTTCTCTTTTACTTTAAGATGGGATTGTGCTATGTAGCCCAGGCTGGCCTTGAACTCTTGTTTGGTTTTTTGTTTTTGTTTTTTTTGTAGTACAGGGGTTTGAACTTAGGGTTTGATCTTGCTAGGCAGGTACCTACTGCTTGAGCCACACCTCCAGCCTTGGCCTTGAACTCTGAATCCTCTGACCTCAGACTCCCAAGTGCTGAGATTACATTGTGTGGTTTCCCTTTGTTGTTGTTTTTTGTTTTTGTTTTTTCTTTGGTGGGACTAGAGTTTGATCTCAGGACTTCACGCTTACAAAGCAGACGCCCTGCCTCTTGAGCCACACCTCCACTCCATTTTTCTCTGGTTATTTTAGAGCTGGGGTCCTGAAACTGTTTGGTCGGGCTGGACTTGAAACATGATCCTCCCGATCTCAGCCTCTCAAGTAGTTAGGATTATAAATGTGAGCTACCAGTGCCAGCTGTGGGGATTCTTTTTAATGAATAGAAAAACCATATTGTCTATACTTGGAAATGGCTATAAGAAGTATTAGTGAAGGTGAAGCTGTGTGCACATGCTGTCTAGGGTGCCTTCCTACATCGATTCTGTCACAGAGTGAAGCAGCTCTGTAATGTTCACTCAGTGCTGTTAGGAGCAATCTGAACTTCAGCAGAGGAGTTAGTTGTCATCAGTTCAACTAGTAAAAACTGTCAAGTGTTCTGGAACTCCATGTGTCAACAGAGCCAAACAATATACTGAAGGAAATAAAGGAACTTGCAGGAGGCAAGTTTATACTAAAGTTCATAACATGCAAAAGCATTTTCCCTTTTTTGTAATGCTTTGCTTTGGGTAGTGGGTTCTAATATTTCTTTGATCTTTTCTGCAGTTTTTAGTGTTTGAAATGCTAAGTTTTTAAAGGGCTAGTGGTTAGCATGCACACTTATGTATACATGTGAACTCTTGTTTTTCATGCAGTCAGCTGAGCAAGTTGCAAGAAATTTCTCTGAGGAACTGTGCAGTAAGTTGTGCTGGCGAAAAAGGAAGAATTGCTGAAGTATGTCCTAGTATCCTTTTCACACAAGCTTGTTACTGGAACCGGACTTGGGTTTGGTACCTGTGCCAGGCACTTCTAGTTGCATATCCCATGTCCATTTTCCACTTTCTTCCTAATGGGAGCTCAGTTTCACTTGGGGCAGTCTCTGCCTAGGTAAATCAGTTACCCTTCCAGACCTTTTTGCTTGCAGGTGTGGCAGTGTGACTCACCCTGACTGATGAGATGTAATGTAGAAGTTTCTAGATGGGGCTCCTTGCAAGGGGCATACTTGGTTGGCATCAGTCTCTTGCACATTGTCTTCACCCATCCCCACCTGAGTGCGGGTGTCTTGTGTGAAGAAAGCTATCCAGTGAGACTGGAAGAGCAGAGATGTGGAGAGTGCTGAGTGTTAGTGGAGCCTGTGGCCTCAGGATATCCCAAGGCCCACACCAACCTGGACTACCTTTTCATGAACTTATTAGAAAAAGATGTGCTGACTCTGGCTCATGCAACTGAGTGAAGTTCTGTTGTAATTATCTGTTTTCTCTACCTGTGGTCATATTTTTTTGCCCTATGTTGCTTTTATGCCCATGACTAAAAGCATAGAACGCAAGTTAAAAAGAATTCCAAAAAAAAAAAAAAAAAAAATTCCAATTGCCAAGTAGGCTTCCTCTAACTTTAAAAAGTCCTTTTCCTTTTTTTTTTTTTTTTTGTGGTGTGTGGTACTGGGGCTTGAACTCAGGGCCTACACCTTGAGCCATTCTTTTTTTTTGTGATGGGTTTTTTTGAGATAGGGTCTCTCCGACCCTTTGCCAGGGCTGGCCTTGAACTGTGATATCCCTGATCTCTGCCTCATGAGTACCTAGGATTACAGGTATAAGCCATCTATATCCTGCTTATAATAATTTGTGCAAAAAGGAAGCAGTTTGTGAGTAAAGAACCAGATGAAGTAGCTTTGTTAAATAAAATGCCCAGACAGTGTGGCCACAGAAACTGAGCAGGGCTCCCTTAAGCAGTTTTCCTGTGGTATTACTCCCCTAGGGTTACCATAGGAGCCTCTTGGAACCTGGGGCCACTGAAACATCCAGGCTGGTGGTTTCTATCATGGGCACTCTCTCTGTGGACCCCAGTGTTCTGTGGAAATGTGGTTTCATATGTAGTTTGGGCAACTGTGTGCGTGTGTGTATTTGCACATACTCGTGGAGTTGAAGTGGCTGTGGAAGAGATACTGGTAGAGAGCAGAATGCCACAGCATCTGGAGCATTCTGCTGGCTGGCTCACTCCTAAGTGTTTGCAGAAGATTGGGAATTGAGTCCTTTTCAACAGAAGAGGAAAGATCTGGTCAGGAGATGGGCTGGGAATGTGGATTGTTTGGCTGCTGAGAAATTTGCCAGCACACTGGAAAAGCAGTGTGTTGCTTTTGTCTTTGCAGTGCTGGGAATGGAACCTGGGGTCTCATGCATGCTAGGCAAGTGTTCTGCTACTGAGCTATGCCCTCATCCCCAGTGTGTTGCTTCTGCATCTTGCTTTTTCCTGGGAAAAAGTCCCCCATGCTTGGAGGAGGGAGCCTCCACAAGCTCTTGAGCCATGGTAGGTCTTTGCAGATGCAGTGATAACTGTCCTGTGTGGAGTTCCTGCCAGAAGTTGAAGTGTCAACTCGTGTGTTTCATTCAGGCATCCTCCATTGAGGGTGGACACAGGAGAGCTGCAGACCTGGGCTTGTTGCATTGGAGAGCTCTGAAGAGATAGCCGACTCCTGGCTGACTCTGAACTGGGGCAAGAGAATCTGTCTACAGTAGCAAGACTGTTAGCAACAGAGCTGCTCCAGTCGTGTGTGTGTGTGTGTGTGTGTGTGTGTGTGTGTGTGTGTGTGTGTGTGCGCGCGCGCATGAGCACTAGGTGGATCACAGGTGTGGTTTAGCACTGACTACAGAATGAAGCTGTTCTGTGCACTGTGCACTGACTGAGTGTAAACGTATGCCTCTGGCCTGCATGACAGGAAGTGGGAGGCAGAGAGAATGGATGGACATCAGCCTTTTCTCAGCATCCCAGGTTCACAGGGTCATGGGATGAAGGCATAAGCATCTAGCAGTTCAGTTCAGGTGGTCACCAGTGTCTACCCAGGATGTAGCAACTGCCAGTGCTGTGGGGCAACTTGAAGGGAACTCCAAGGAGTAGCAGCAGCAGAAGAGGCAGCTCAAGTCTAATGACTCCATTGCTCTAAAGTTAGTTGAGTTGGCTTGTCCTCCAGGCAGGGCAGGCAGGTCACCCAGGCCAGTGTGTCCTCTGGGCCAGCATGTTACAGGCACTGAAGTATGTGCGCTGTGTCTGGTGTTTCAGGCAGCTTACTTGCAGCGTTTCTTTTCTGTTTGACATAGCATTTTGGGGTGACCATTATTCTCCTTGGGGCGTAAACTCCAACTGTTGTACGTGGAAGCCTTCGACGCTTTGTTCTCCTCTGCCAGTGTGACATCTGAGTGCTGGGAGCCCTTCACTGTGCGCTGGTCATTCTGCCCCAGTACTTCAGTGTCATTCCTCACACCACTGGGCCCTGCTAAAGTTGTCTTTAGTTCACAGGTTGGTGAGCTTTTCCCTAAAGGATAAAAGAGTAAAATTAAGCCTGTGGATCAATGGGCAAAATCAGGATAACTAAGTACTTATGTTATCATTTGAACGATCCATGTGGAAATGTCAGAGCGATTCTTAGCTCTCAGGCTAAGCACAGACCAAATGGTACATTGGACTTTTTGTAAACAAAACTTTCTCCATATACTATCTATATTTAACAGTTCTGAGCTGCATTGTGAACTTCAGAGGCTTGTGCAGTACAGGTGGTCCTGAGTGCCCTTCTCTGAATTCCTGCTTCTGGGAAGGGATGGGTGTCACACCTACTGCCCTCATGTTCCCGAAGATACTCTGAATTCCTGAAATCATCTTGGCACTTGTCAACCTTCGTATCCCCTGGGATGATTCTCTGTGTTGGGGATTCTTAGGAGCCTAGTACTGGCTCCCTGCAGGAGAAGGGCATGTGGCTGGCATGTGGCTGATGCCTGCTATGCAGTGTGCAGTAAGGTGCCTGCTAAGCCAGCAGCATCGCTGTTCTGTTTCCTCCTTTCCTGTTGGATGATGCTATGGGCTTAATTATGACACTTGGCTTTTACTCATTTGATTGTAAATGTTTGTATGAAGTTTGAGTATGTGACAGTTTTTTTTTTTTAGTTTCAGATGAACAGTTGGCTAACTTGGTTGTTTTGTGGTGCTGGAGATCAGACCCAGGATTTTGCACATGCTTTATCTATCGATAGCTATTGCTGAGCTACGTCCCCAGCCTAGCAGTTAGACAATTTACAGGCTCATGCCTGTAACCCTCTAGCGCCTCAGGAGGCAGAGATCAGGATTGTGGTTTGAAGCCAGCCCGGACAAATAGTTCGTGAGACCCTATCTCAAAAATACCCAACACAAAAAGGGTTGGTGGAGTAGCTCAAGTCATAGAGCCCGCCTGCCTGGCAAGTGTGAGGCCCTGAATTCAAACCCCGGTATTGCCAAAAAGAATTACATATGTGTGTCTGTGTATACATATCTATGCATATGCATATATTATGTGCTCATGAAAAAAGTTTAAGCAGAATAAAAAGTGAAGAATTGTTCCAACTACATTTATGTCTTTGAATAATTTGAAATCTGTTCCTTAACCTGTGTTTTTAGATATTAGAGAATTAGATTTGTCACAAAACCTGCTGTCGTCCTGGGATGAAGTGATACACATATCCAGTCAGCTGAAATTTCTGGAGGTTCTTAATCTCAGGTATGGACTCTTGCCTGCCTTGACACAAACTGAAATCCCTGCTCTGTCTTACTTCCTCCAGCTTCCTGGGATGAAGTGGGGGCACATGGAATAAGGCTGCCAACTGGTAGCTATATTATTGTAGGCAGATTTTTGACAAACTGGAATTTACTTTAGATTCTGATTTTTAAAGGGCACATTGATTACTAGTCTTAGGAATGTATTCGTCTCTTTATTGATTTATTTTTGGGTGAGACCAGGTTTGAACTCAGGGCTTCATGCTTACTAGGCAGGAGCCACTCTGCCAGCCGTTTTTTGTGTGTTGGTTATTTTCGATGTGGGTCTCACAAACTGTCTGCCTGGGCTAGCTTCAAACTGTGATCCTCCTGATACCTGCCTCATGAATAGCTAAGATTACAGCCACCTATGCCAGGCTGTGTTTGTCTCTCAATCAGTCAGGGCATGAGGTAGGTGGACGTTTTGGGCTGGCAGAGCTCTGTGTTTCTTGTAAGCCTGACCATGAAAAGAGGCTTGTCTGGCGAAGGAGAAGGAGAGAAAAGGTGGTAGTATTTGAGAACTTTGAGAATGAGTAGTTTTATTGGGGATACTGTTTAATTTAGTTTTTGTAAGGATTTGCATTTACTCACCTCTTTTACTGTCAGTTTTTCAGTCTTTCCTGAATAATTGATTAACTTCAGAACCTACCTTCCCAAGGGCTTAGCCAGGCTTCCTCTTCTTTTTCCATTTCTTTTGGTGGTGTTGGGGATGAAACCCAGGACCAGTTGTGAATATTGTGTGTTAAAAACTAGGCCAGGCATGGTGGTTCATACCTGTAATCCCAGCTATTTGGGAGGCAGAGGATTGTGGTTGTAGACCAGCCTGAGGAAAAAATTAACACAGCCCCTCTCAATAAAAAAGCTGGGCATGGTGGTGTGTTGTGATCCCAGCTAGTGAGAGGCATAGGTAGGAGGATCGTGGTCCCAGGCCAGTACAGGTAAAAATGTGAGGGCCTATCTGAAATATAAAACAAAAAGGGCTGATAAAACAAAAAGGGCTGGGGGAGTGGCTCAAGAGATGAGCGCCTGCCTAGCAAGTGTGAGGACCTGAGTTCAAAGCACAGGACACCCCATCCCCCACAAAAAAAGAAAAAAAAAAACTAGGTAGCCTTGACTCAGTTTGCTTATTTGGTTTTGATAGATTTTTTTCTTTTTCCTTCGGTGTTGCTGGGGATGGAACCCAGGGCTTTGCACATGCTGTTCAAATACTCTACTACTGAGCCAAGTCCTCAGCCTTAGCATGTCAGGGTGAGCACACCAAGACCCTCAGTAAATAAATCCCGAGTGCTTTCAGTGGCTGTCTCAGTTGGGTCTACTGGAGAGTAGTAAGCACTTCCTATTGTCTTTTTCTTCTTTCTTCACAGTGAAAATAAACCAGAGTTCCCCTTGGATTCACTGTCTCCAGCTGAAACATTTTCTAGACTGAAGGTTTTAGTTCTGAATCAAACAGGAATAACATGGGCTGAGGTAATGATGTTTCTTTGGCTTATGACACAGTAGTAAGCAATTAAAATTTTTGCTTTCATAGGGAATTAAAAGCATATAACTGGTTTCATTTTAATCATTCTATTACCTAAATAATAGGATTCTTTAAAACTACTTTAGAGAAAGGAATTAAGTAGTTTGTTTTGCTTGTGCTTGCTAGGTGGGTGCTCTACCACTTGAGCCATGCCTCTAAGCCCTTAAGTAGTTTTTTTTTGGTCATATTGGAGCTTGAACTCAGGGCCTTGGGCTTGGTAGGCAAGTGCTTCTTAAGTAGCATTTTATGTGTAGGAATCCATGTTGTCTCTTAACCTCTGTTCCTCTCCCCTGGCTCATTTGGACTTACTCTGAGGTGTTGAATAACACTGGCACTCTGGTGATGTGGTGTGTGCTGAGCCATCAGCAGCCCCAGTGGTAGCCTCATGGAGCGTTAGCACCCCACTTTTCCTGAAAGTGCTCTCAGGGCAGCAACCAGCTCCCAGCATCCACGGGTCCCCGCAGACAGCTGGGCTCAGGAGTGGCCTCGCTCACAGGTCCTCCACACAGCCGTATTTGTCACTTCTGTCTTTTTCTATCCCAGGTGTGGGCTTTACTGCCCTCACAGCCCCTCACACACTGTGTGTGCACAGAAGTTTGTTTCCAGTTTGGTATCAGCTCTGAAGAGCTGCAGAGGCAGCTCATCAGGGACGTGTTGCTCTTTAGCAGGTGCTCTTGGCCTAGCCACAGCCTTCACTTCTTTCCCCAGCCCCTTCCTTGCAAGAATCTTGCTTCTCTGGGGGTGGACTGAGCCTCAGACAGGAGGACACATAGAAGCTGAGGTGGGAGAGATGGCAGTTAGGCTCAAGTGAGAGAATGAGAGGAAACTGGTGGAACTGTCAGCATCATTTCTTTTTTCTTTCTGTGGCACTGGAGTTCAACCTTAGGGCCTCCTGCTTGATAGGCAGGCACTCTAACACTTGAACACACCTCAAATCCTCTTTGCTGTGGTTGTTTTGGAGATAAGGTCTCACTTTTTCCAGGTCAGCTTGGACTGTGATCCTGGGATTACAGGCATGTACTGTCACACCCAGTTTTCTTCTGTTAAGATGGATTCCCACCAACTAGGCCTGGACCCTCAGTCTTCCTAATCTCAGCCTGCCAAGTCACTAGCCTTACAGGCAGGAGCTATGGTGCCCTGCTCATCAGCATATTCTTGAGTTATCAGGTTTGTCCTCTGAACTGAGGAAGGTGTCCAGCACGGTTTCCTTCCTTAGAGCAGCTGACTCTGGAAGTCTACAGCTTGTGATCACCTTTCCTAAACTGGGAGCTCACTGCCTCTTGGCTTCAGCACCAGAAGCACAACCCTGCACCTTGGAGTGCCTTGTTTCTTTACCCATCCCCACCTCACTTGGGCCTAAACACAACCTGTGTGACATGTCTAGGAGTCACTTTACTTTGAAGTCATAATGAAAGGAAATTCTTGTGAAGCTATGGCAGTGAACACAAGCTGATTAACCCTGACCTAAACTTCTTTTCCAGGTGCTCCAGTATGCCCCTGGGTGGCCAGTCCTTGAGGAACTGTACCTGGCCTCCAATGGTATATCCATCTCAGAAAGGTGCATCTGTCACTTTCAGTCATCTCTGCATTTAGTCATTCTGAATAGACTCAGTTATATCTAGCATTAGCTTTTAAGAGGATCTGCAGATAAGAATTTGAATTTGCAAATTGGACTGTCAACTGGAATTTCACTAATTGGTTTGAATGGAGGGAAACGCAGGTGGGAGAGTTCATCAGAGCAGTGCTCTGAGTTACATTTGACTTTCATTAGTTACACAAATATATTTGACTTGCTGCTTCTAAATAGAAGCTCTACAGGACACGCTGGGCATCTTCTGTTTCTTTGCCAAGGATTACGTAATGTTCTTTTAGCATTCCCTGCCTAAGTTCATTGTACCAGAGAATGTGTACACACGTGCTCTCTTCCACAGATTGTTGCCCATCTTCCACTTTTGTGAAAATCATTAAGACACTGTGTAAAACAGAATCAGTAGTGGGAAATTTTCAACAAACTGTATTCAAATTAATAGGATTTTATTGTACAGAATGGTTTCACTTATCTACACGTAAATACGGATATTTGTCTAACTGAACTCTGAGGTAGGTGGGAGTTACGTGCAGTTAAGGCAAACACGGAGATCGCCTGTCTTCATTAGTGTTTCCCCATTAGTAACAAGGCTCAAATCCCCAGCTTGCCCTTTCAGGGGTCAGATCCACTTGCCTCCCACCCCAGACCTTGTACCCCAAGTGCAGATATTTTAAGTGAGGCTGGATCTTTGAAAACAATTAAGAGATTAGTTGCGCTGAAGGAAGTTTATTTTCCATCCAGGCCAACTGACGTTCTACAGACAGTCAAGTTACTAGACCTTTCCTCGAACCCAGCGGTTGATGAGACCCAGCTGCTCCTGATAGCACATCTGCCCAGGTGATTCACTCCGGCAGTATGCCTGTTACAGAGCCAGGCAGATGTGTAATGAGTGGACTCCTCTGCGCTTTCTCCATAGAACTGTGAGCAGTTCCCTTCCCTTCAGGGGATTTTTGTTTGGAGAGTTTACTTGTTACAGTGTCACAGTGTGTTCTACACCACAGTTTGAAGAATGGGTAATTCGATCCTGGTGATAATGCCAGAATCTTCATTTAAGCCTGGGGAAGTGAGGCCTGTCTTCTGACAAAAGAGTGGGCACCCAGAGTGTCAGAGGACTGTGGAACACAACCGGAGTGTCACAAGTCTTCCCACAGGCCCTGAGTTGGTCTCTATGGCTTCTGAACATTGTAGACGGGATGCAAATCCAGGGCACAGGAAAAAATACACTAGAATGATTGATGGTCTGTAGCATTTTTATGTTCTGATGATCTATCTTAACATTTTTTTTTTTAAATTTCAGATTAGAACAACTAATCCTTTCTGACAATGGAATTTCTTCTGTACATTTTCCAGATGCTGGAATTGGTATACAAGATTAGTAAAGTCTCCTTCCCTCCATGTTGGCCATTTCTTTACTTCTTTTGTGGGAGGCAGTACTGGGGTTTGAACTCAGAGACTTGTGCTTGCAAAGCAGGTGCTCTACCACTTGAGCCACTCCACCAGCCCTTTTTGAATTGGTTATTTTTGAGATAGGCTCTTGCTTTATGCCCTGGCTGGCCTGGTCTGTAATCTTTCTATTTGTGCTCCCAAGTGTAGCTTGGGATGGCAGGTGCACACCACCATGCTCAGCCATTGGTTGAGATGGAGGTCTCATGAACATTTTGCCTGGGCTGGCCTTGAACCTTGATCCTCCTGATCTTCACCATTACAGGCTTGAGCCATGGAAACCTGGCTTCTTTCACTTCTAAGTGTTACCTAAATTCTCCTTTTTCTAGGTTGCAAAACATCATTGTTCCCATCCTTGCAGTACCTTGTAGTAAATGACAATCGGATATCACAGGTATGAACTGTTTCAGTGAGTCCCTTGTTTTCCACTCTCGTGGAGTTTGGAGGTTCCGTTTTCTACTAAGAAAAATTAAATCTAAAGGAAAATGCCTTTTCAGAGTGCAGCTCTTTAAAGTGAAATTTTTACTTTTTAGTTTTTTTTTTTTTGGTATACTGGAATTTGAACTCAGCACCTACACCTTAAGCCACTCCACCAGCCTGTTTTTTGTGATGGGGTTTTTCAAGATACAGTCTCATAAACTATTTGCCTCAGGCTAGCTTTGAACCACGATTCTCCTGATCTCTGCCTCCTGAATAGCTGGGATTACAGGTGTGAGCCACTGGTGTCTGGCTAAAAGTAAACTTTATTATGAAAGTTACTTGAAAGCAGACTGAGTCATTTTAAAGGGCACAGAGTAAGTCTGGTCTTCTCAGTGCAGTGCTTCATGCATTCCCTGCCTCGAGTTGTTCAAGTAACTGGGAAAGGCTGCCTGAAATGCGTTGCTTTTATTTCGTTTTGTCGGAGTTCAGTGGTCATTCATCAACGAGCTGGATAAGTTGCAGAGCCTGCACACTTTGTCCTGCATAAGAAACCCCCTGACTGAAGGGAGCAGAGAGGCACAGACCACTCGCCAGTTCATCATTGCCAAGATCGGTCAGCTGAAGACTCTGAACAAATGCAAGGTGAGTGTGAGGATCATGGCCAGCTGTTACCCAGGCTGGCCTCAAACTCTTGGGCTTAAGTGATCATCCTGCCTCAGCCTAAGTAGCTGGGATTACAGCAGTGCCATCATGCTTGGGTTGGGTGGGGGTGGGGTGTGTGTGTGTGTGTTATGGTTGAACTCAGGGCCCTGTGCTTGCTAATCGAGTGCTCTACCACTTGAGCCACATCCCCAGCCCTTTTGGCTTAGTTATTTTTGCTCAGGCCAGCCATGGACTGTGATTCTCTTACCTCTGTCTCCTGAATAGCTGGGATACTAGGTGTGTGCTACTGCACCCTGCTTGTTGATTGAGATAGGGTATTGTTAATATTTTGCCCAGGCTGGCCTCCCACTACCATCCTTTCAGTCTTCACCTCACAAGTAAGCCCAAGCCATTCTGCCCAGCTAGATATTTTTTTAAACTAGAAAACAAATGTGCAAAAACTGTATCTGGGTATTGTAAAGGGTATGAAATGTAGCTTTCCTTCAAATGCTGAAATATTATCCTAGTCCACTTTGGACACTTTTGGCTCTTTCCTGAATCCTCAGGAGTGAGGATTCTACTTAGGTTAAGTGCCAGAAAGACCCACTGTTCTGCTGCCTGGCTGATTATCATCTGAGGAGTGGAAAAGGGGGGAACTGAAGGCAGAAACAAGACAGAGAACAGAACATGTTTCATGTTTTCATAGACTCTTTTATATCTCATATCAACGTAGATTCTTCCAGAGGAAAGGCGTGGAGCTGAGCTTGATTACCGGAAGGCTTTTGGAAATGAGTGGAAAAAGGCTGGTGGACATCAGGATCCAGACAAAAACAGGCCCAGCGAAGAATTTCTTGCCGCCCACCCAAGATTCCAGCTCCTCTGCGACAGTATGTCCATGTGACCTGGCATCCTTTCCTGTGTGGACTTACAGCTGGAACTAAGTTCTTCTGGGGTAGCACAGGAAGTTCTCAGTGTTTCTGCTTTTCTCCATCTCTTGGGGCTGTTGTCGTCTAAATGAGCTGTAGGTGCTTTCCTGGGGCCATTTCAGCAGCCAAGAGCAGTCTGGAGTAAGCAAGCCAGCAACATCTCACTCCCAGTAGAAGCAGCCTGGAGACACAGTTGAGGTTTCTGGAAGGGAGTGATTTTTGGGGGGAGAGAAAAGTAGTCCTCAGGTGAAGCTCCCTTTATGTACCCGGGTTCACCAGAGATGTCCTTCCTGAAGCTTGGCACTTGGCCATGTGTGCAGCGTCCCTTATATCCTCAGTCTGGCTTCTCAGGCTGTGAAGCTAAGAATCCATGCATTTTCATCCCTGATGGACTTGCCATCTTGTTTTGACCTCGTTATTCCATATTTTACCTTTGTGCAGTTCTCACGTATTTTCTAATGCAAGAAACTTACTCCATAAATGCTTGGGGCTGGAACATTATTTCTGAAGAAGAGCCACCTGTGGGAATTGCTTTCAAATTACTCCATTAGCTGGCCAATTTCCTGGCCTCTCTAGGTGAATTCTAAATCACTTGCAGGTGGGGAATGGAAGAGTATGAAGCGGCCGACAGGTATGGTTCATCCTTCCCTGATAAGAATACCAGAAGACAAAAGCAGATGCAGAGACCTGGAGAGAAGTGTTGTCACAGGCTGGCCTAGAGTGGGAGAAGAGAACAGTATCCCCTTATCCACAGTTCACTGTCTGCAGCTCCTCAGTTACCCAGCCTTGTTCCAAAAACACTACATGGAGAATTCCAAAATTCAAACATACATTGTTTTTTGTTGCCTACCTGTTTGAGTAATGTGATGAAATCCTACTGGATCCGGGAAGTGATACCTTTGTCCAGTGTATCTGAGCCACCTCCTGCCTGCCTTTGTCACTTGGTAGCTGTGGTATTACCAGCCTATTGGTGTCACAGTTCTTGTGTTCAAGTAACTTATTTTACTTGAAAATATCTCCCCAGTGCAGGAGCAGTGATAATACAATTCACATATGCCCAAGAGAAGCTGTAAATGCTTCAGTTAAGCGAAGATGAACGTACAATAAGATACTTTGAAAGAGTGTATTTATGACTTTTTTACAGTGTATTATTTTGTTATATTCCTTTTTTGAGTTATTGTTAATCCTTTATTGTAACTGAGTTCTAGTTTAAACGATCATAGGTATATATGTGTAGAGGTCTGGTACTATCTGTAGTTTCAGGCACCCACTGGAGGTCTTGGAATGTGTCTCCCTCAGATGGGGGAGGAACTGGACTACATTTTCAGGCAGAGGAGGCAACCTGCAGCAGTGGGACTGAGTGCCCAGCCTGGCTTAAACTTGGTGAAGGTGTCCTATGACTGGTGTTCAAATAGCATCAGGCTTTTATATCAGGACCCTGAAAGAAAATGAACCATGTCCCAAGCTGAACCGAGTGAGCATTTGAAGTATCTGAAAACATGTGCTTCTTGGTAGTTGGAGTGAGGAAAATCCCATAGTGCTCAGATGGGGAGGGCTCTCCCTCAGGAGGGATGATGTCCATCTCCTAAGCACCCAACACCTGAACTGAAGGAGCCGACACCAGGCTAGCCAGCCACCTGGCTCCTGGTAGGCATATCCTGGGAAAGAAAGCTGTTGACAGTGACCTTTACATTCTTTTCTTACAGTGGCCTTTGGTTTATCATTCATCCCTTTTTGTTTCTTCCAAAACAGAATATGGTGCACCTGAAGACGAGGAATTCAAAGTACAACAACCATTCATGCTCAAAAATCGGCTACTAAGTAAGAACCCACATTCACACACAGTGCATTCACAGTGTCTGAGTGTTACTTGCTGAAGCAGATAGTGATGGCTTGATTGGGACTGCGTTTCTCTTAACGGAAGTACCTAAGCATCTAGAATGTTTAAAAAAAAAAAATCTCAGATATATCTAAAAAATTTTTCCCGGTACTACTGGGGGTTCATGCTTGCTAGGCAGGTGCTCTACCACTTGAGCCACTCTGCCAGCCCATTCCTACTTTTTTTTTTTTTTTTTGCAGTACTGGGGCTTGAACTCAGGGCCGTCACCTTGAGCCACTACACCAGCCGTTTTTATGAAGGGTTTTTCAAGATAAGGTCTCACAAACTATTTGCCCGGGCTCTGTCTCTTGAGTAGCTAGGATTTACAGGTGTGAGCCAGTGGCACCCGGCTCATACCTAAATTCTTACATTGAACATTTCTGCAGCTCCCATGCTCTGGAATTCATTTAAATAGTGTTACAGGTGTCAGAGGGATCTGAGTAATGAACTGCTGTGTAATTTGAATATTGTCACTTTTCTTAGAGAACCCAGCCACACTGAAAAGTGCTAAAATTCTGGTCTAGCTGTTTTTGTCATGACTAAGTCTTACTAAGTCTTGGAAGTTTTTTGTTGCTTTGAATACTTATGTATTCCAGGCTGGCCTCAAACTCGAACTTGTGTTCCTCTTGCCTCAGCCTTCTGAGTACTGGGATCATGGAAGTATTAACAGAAGACATTTTTAACATTTAAGACCTGGTTCTTTATTGGGATTGAGCCAAGTTGTACTGAACAGCTCCGTCACTTGGCACTCCCCGTCAACTTGCACGTTTTTACTGGTGTTGGATATCAAACTTAGGTCTCTTTGTGTGCGAAGTGTGCACTCTACCATTGAACTACCCTCCTAGTCCTGCTGGCATACGCTGGATCCTTATACTAGGTATCAATTAGTCTTTTCCTTTTTTCCTTAAAGCACTGAAGATAAAATGTCCAAGTCAACTTGAACAGAAAGTTCTGGAGAAACAGCTGCCAGGTAAGATGAACCTTTCTTTGCCTTCCTTGTAGTTGTGAATCGCTGGTCTGCGGGGGTATGAGTCAGCAGACATCAAAAACATCTAAATTCTTTCTATCTGAAAGTACACACCTCAGAATTTAACAGGTTTTTATTAGTCTTTTATACTAATCAGTCATGCTAGTATCACTCCCCTAACCCCCAAAAGTGCAGGTCTCTCGTGACTGTAGCAGTCTATTGAAAGATTTATTAAAATTGGGAGGCCTCCCACCCCTGCACATGACCAAATAGCCAGAGGTTGGAGGACTTGAATGGCTTGTGTTCCCCAACGCCACCTGCATTTAGTTCCCAGGTTGCTCACTGCTGGGGGACTTTTCTTACGAAGAGATTGTGGTCCTCTTTGTGGGGTCTGTCTGCCTTCATCAAGCCTGAGGGAGCTGAATGACCCAGTGTGAGTTCTCCTGTGTGCCACTCATTTTGTCTTACTGAGCAGGAGTCCCCACTGAGAGAATTTGCAGAAGCTTTTAATGGACACATTGGTTTTCTTTGAAAAAAAAAACAAAACACTTAAGAACTTTTTTTGTAAACATTTTGTGCTACTGAAACTGAGTTAGTTTTATTAGAAAAATAGATCAACATAATTTACCCTTAAACTTTGACTCAAAAGAAAAATCATCTATATCTGTGAACTCTCAACATTAATTTCTTTCATTGCTAAATGCTGAAATATGAAGTTTAAATTTGACAGTGAGCACTTGGAGAAATGAAACATGAAAATGGATTGGTCTAAATAATTCCAGTTAGCTGCCTCTCCTGTATGCCTGGCAGAGCAGTAAGTTCACACTCATTTTTAAGTTAGTGTCCATCAACATAGACAAGCTTATGGTATGGGTTACGGAAGGCTGGGGTTGTAAGAAGTACCTTTCGGACTGATAACTGCTACTTGGTGCTAATCTGCTGTTTCTCCAGTTTCCATTCCTGTGGTCGGGAATCTGCTGTTATATAACGACTGTAGTCAATAAAGGCGCTGGTGGAGACAGACTAGTGAAAAGGGGCCAGAACTTTTTGTTAATGTTGCTGGCTTTGGATGTCTTTGCATTTTCCTTCCCAAATACATCAGATCACTTGTGGGAATGTTAGCACTAGGAACTCCTTGCTTAAGGAGTGTTGTTAGACTGTGCGCAGCCCCTTTTAAGCTTTCTCTGGAGAAGTGCTGAGCTCAGCTCAGTCAAAACTGTGGTCTGGGCTCATGCAGCCCTCCTACCCACTTTATTGATTCCACATTGTGCCTCTGCTTGGTATCCCAGGACTTCTGAGACTCAGTTACCTGTGTTGTAAACAGGTAATGCTGGGTTTAATAATCTTTGGATAAAACCAACAGAGATTAGAATTAAGCCTAGAAACTCCACATGCTGATGCTCGTGCTGTGAGTGGTTCAGATCTGAGTCCTGTCTTCTCCATACTCTGTAGTATGCCAGCAGATTGCAAGGGTTCTTACTATTGCTATGATGCACTAGTGCAGAGAAATACCCTCTAACAAGAAAGGTTGTGGCCAGGCCTGGTGGCACTCCAATTCCAGCATTTGGAAGGTAGGAGGATCATGAGTCTGAGGTCAGCCTGGGAGACAGGGAAATCCTGTATTTAAAAAAAAGGCAGTAAAGAGATTGCTTAATCACCATTGTTTTACAATCAGATTAGCAAGGATTAAATAGTGGCTGGAGTTAAAAATCAGTGTGCCTTTTCTGTAAAGCCATGTGGTAGTTTCTGTAAAAATACACAGGTCAAGTGGTAGAGTGCCAGGTTTTGGGTTCAATCTGTGGTACTGCCAAAAAGAAAGTCAGTAGGGATTCTGCCAGGGTATGAAGGATTAACTCAGGAAGGTTAATTTTGGTTAGAAGCAAAATACTGCTTGAAATAAAGCAAATATAAAAATGGATACACACGCAGATAGAGTGGTTTAAGTGGTAGAGCACCTGTGTTCAAGCCTCAGTGCCGCAAAAAAAGAAAAATCACAACCCATGTATAGTATAAAACTTACACGTCATGGGAGCATCATGAGGAAGAAGCCTGCCTAGCAAACGTGAAGCCGCTGGGGGGAAAGGCAAACAATGACTGTCCAAATAAGGTAAGCTCATGGCACTGTTACTTAGATTACGTACAAATTGGTAATTGGTTTTGGCATAGATTGGGAACGTGTCATTTCCTTGGTAAGCAGAAATGAGCCCCTTCTAAACAGTGAAAGCCAGTCCACCTGAATCTTTTGAAAGGACTATCTGTATTCACACACAAAAGAGCAAACTGTAATTGAATTCCTATTAAGTATATCTAATACACAAACAAGAAAAGGCCAGTTTTTATTCTAAAATAAAGATAACATTTATTATCAGAAGTTGCATAAAAACACAGCTTTTACAAAAATGATTGATAGAAAAATATTTGACTACACTGTGATATCTGTGGGAACACCACACTATTGCTGTACCTCCAGCTAAAGCTTCAGAGAAATTAATTTGTATATTGAAAATACCCATTGCTTAACCACAAGGCGTCTTTGGAAAGAAATTCATAGCATGTTGTGAACAGACAAGCATTTGCTCGTTTAAGAATGTTACATTCCCAGGCCTGGCAGTCACTTTTGTACGCCTTGGAACATTGACAAGACTGGAGGGACCTTGACACATCACCTAGTTTACAACCTTCATCTTGCTGAGGGGTGTCCTCAGAGTCCCTCTCCAGGGTTCTTGTAGTAATTCATAACCAAGTAGCACAGAGACTTAGAGAGCTCACTCTCAGTTACTCCTCTTTGCTGAAGATATTCATTACATGCCACTGAAGTGGTATGGAAAGTGTCAAGGGCACTTGGGACAAACAAACGACTCAAGTTAAGTGGGGGAAACACTCCAGCCTTCTTTTCTTGCTATTCTCTCTGGTAAACTGATGCTACTTGAACAGGTAGCTGTCATTTGAGAGAACTGATGGATTTTTCCTTTCTCTGATAGACTCCATGACGGTCCAAAAAGTGAAGGGATTGCTTTCACGTCTTCTCAAAGTTCCCGTGTCAGAACTTCTGTTGTCCTATGAAAGTCCCAAAGTAAGTTGCCCAGCAGAATACAAACATGAGACCACCTGTCTAACACTGTGCTTTGTCAGAGCTGTCTCACCCACCCTCCATCTTTTGTGCTCTTAATTCCAGATGGCAGGCAGAGAATTTGAACTAGAGGATGACCTAAAGTCATTACAGTTTTACTCTGTGGAAAATGGAGACTGTCTATTAGTACGGTGGTAACAACCAACTGATAGTTTATCATGGGGAGGGCTCAACAAAAATGATTTGTTCAAATACAAAATAAAACAAATTTTGTTGGGAAGAGGCCATATACAATAGTAATAATAATAATAAAAGCTTTCACTACTGATTTTGTGGTCTTCATGTATTTACTTTTACAGCTCATCACTGCATTTCATTATGAAAATTTAAATACTAAATAAAGCTAGCTAGTCCAATAAATCTGAATGTTGTGTTATAATGGGGTTCTCTGCTGGTATTCTGGTGCTGCTACTTTAAAGAATGACCAACCAAATAAACACAGGGGAGACACATCTTCTACTGTTTTTCTTCTCAGCGGTACTCAATACGTAGTTGTACCTAAACTGACCATTTCTTCTGTAGAAGATTACCAGCACACTCTGACTCGAACTTAAACTAGGTGAACATTTCCTAAGTGTCAGTGATTTAGAAATCCCCTTCCCTGGGGCACTAAAACCCTCAGGATTTTTTACGTTATTCATATTCACAATTTAGTGTTCAAATAGCACTAAGCTGTGGTTGTCAGGATTTGTGCTATTAGTCTGCCATATAAATGACTATCTTTGAAACTTAGGATCAGGACTGAAGATCACATTAGTTCCTTTTCACCATTAAGGTGCTCACTTCAGAGATTCACAAAAATGTGACATCATTTCCAGAAGCCCCAAACTTTGGTGGAAGTGACCACACAGCACTTTGAGTTCTTTTTGACCTGTAGTTATACATAGCTATTTTGCAATCCAGGTTGAGATTCAAACTGAGTTACTACTCAAAATTTCTGAAATAACTAGGCCATGTTTTAACCAAAAATAATAGTGGATTAGTAATTAATTAGTGTATCAGGACCTATTCTTTTACAAAACAGGTTGGTATTTAAAAAAAAAAACTTTTCTCAAGCTGCAGTGAGAGTTGGTTCTTAAGGAGATCTGTGCAAATGTTAAGAACACCACGCTGGTTTACAGGGGAAAGTGCTGCCTTTTCTGCCGAACCTTGGGCTTGTCTCTGCCTCACACGGAGATTACTCCACCTGCCCTGTCCTTAGGCACTGCCCGCTGGACTCACTGTGATCTGGCTTCACACTGACAGGGGTCACCGCACAGTTCCTTCAGTTCCCACAGCTGGCTTAGTTCCCGTGGGGAGTACTGAGGGGACGACAGCATTCCCGCCTCACATGTCTTCTCACACAGCCACAGGCTGTCCTGTTGAGAAAGAACACGTGGACTGGAGAGCTGTAACAGACAGGCGTGTGTGGGACGCCTGTATGAGTGCTACTGAGGCTGAAGCGACTCCCAGGATAACTCGACATGTGAGCCAACTCATGAGGTGTGGGGAGCACTGAGGCAGTCCTGTGGCGGCAGAACATAATAGCAATGCAGCGTGTGGACTAAGGCGGCAATCGGCAGTGCACACATGTACCGAACGTCATGATCCATAACCACACAGCTGCTATGTTGTCAGGTAAAAATGTTCAAATTCTCAGAGAAGAAAAGCGTAGGAAATAGAGTTGATTTTTTTTTTTTTTTTGTGGTACTGGGACTTGAACTCAGGGCCTTCACCTTGAGCCACTCCACCAGTCCTATTTTTATGAAGGGTTGCTTTTGAGATAGGGTCTCATGAACTATTTGCCCAGGCTGGCTTTAAACCGTGATTCTTCTGATCTCCGCCTCCTGAGTGGCTGGGATTACAGAAATGAGCCACCAGCGCCAAGCTATGGAAATGGAGTTCTGGGAAAAGTGTGGAAACCACATGGGTGAGTTTCATATTTGCTTTTAGAGAAAGGTAGGCAGAAGCAGTTTTTTGTTTTTTTGGGTTTTTTTTCCTGGTTGGACTGGGGTTTGAACCCAGGGCTTCTCACTTGTAAAGCAGGCGCTCTACCACTTAAGCCACAGCTCCACTCCTAGAAGCAGTTTTAATAGCAGCTACTACTATGGCAATGTCTTCAGTACTCTGGACTTTATGACTATTCCATTTAATTGTCCCAAGAATTTGTGAGCTAGACATTATTTCCTTTTTACACGAGGGTGAAGCAACTTGCTCCAGGTGGCCATGCTACAAGATGAGTGGGAGAGTGGGAGAGTGGGAGAGAAGGAGGGAGCTGAGACCCTGACCCTCACCCAGGCTCTTAGGCACTGGACTCAGCTCCGACTGGCTTCTTCCCAGCAACGTGGCAGAGTGTGCGTGGGGAGAAAATGCTGAGGGACATTACAAATCTTTCAAAGCATGACTGAGCTGTGGTAGTGAGGAGCTCCTGTGCACAGGGGTGGGCGGGACGCGGGGGTCAGCATGGGGCCTCCGGGTATGGGAGAGAACAAAGCTTCCTAGGCAGGAGGCCCTGTCAGCCTCAGCCGGCGTGCTTCCCTGCTGCTGGGCAGCACACAGTGCAAGCCCCCTCTGCAAAGAAAGCTATCAGTATTTTACAGATAGGCCTTGGTTCCCAAAGACATGAGGTCCCAGTACAAAGCACAAGCTCCACAAACAGCCAGCACCCTACAGAGTCAGACCAGCACCTGCCACACAGATGAGAATGACAGGACACAGACCAGATCTGCCTATTCCACAGTAAGTAAACATGGGGCTCAAAGTGCGACTGAGGATAAGGCTGCCCAGCTGACCACACAGTGGGAGGCACACGCCTGGGGTTGCAGCTCTGCACAGGCTCCTGAGGGGCAGCCCTGAATGTTTCTTTTGTGCCCTGAACCTTCTGTGGTCAAAGGAGAAGCTGGAAGAATTCATAAGGAAGGAAATGTCCGAGGCAAAAGCTTGCTTTCCCCCCCCAAGGCTCCTAATTTCCATCTTGGTCTTTGTGGATTCATTTCTCTTTCTGGCTCAGTAGTCCGTGTGCTTTAAACGCTGTCTAAACAAAGAGAACTTCATCACGGATGATGAAGTCAGATTAGTCAGGGAGCCGAGGGGTCCTTACACTGCCAGGTGCCAGCAACTCCCGTCGTAGATCCTAAGTTTTAAAGCTGCAAAGAATTTCTGACCAGCTCTATGGAGCCCTAATTCTTTGTGGGTCAGGGAACATTTATTCACAGCATTTCCTTCTGGTTTAAACTTAGAAAACTTCTGCCCCAGGGATAACGAGGTGGATTTAGTTTGAAGCTCGCTGGGTAGAAGCCTCATTTCCAGTACACCCGTGGGCCCCGAGGCCAGCGCCTTGGAGCTTGCTTACCTGGTGTCTTCTAGGTCCTATGGCCGCCATCCAAATGCCCATGCTCACATCTTCCCCCTGCACGCAGTGCCCAAAGTATAAATGCAAAACCTTAGTGCTGTCTGTAAAGGCGCCACGCCTGCTCCCAGCTTCTACTTTCTGACGTGGCATGACGTAGCCCTGACACACTAGTACCGCTAGCTGCCCACTCAGCGAGGCAGAAGAGGACCGCCCCTCTTCTCACGTGCCTTAGACTGCAGCGCCAACGTGAAGTGTGTATAACTAGGCAGAACCAGAAAGAAATCTGTATGCCACGAACCTACGCTTGTCTTTCTTTTTTCTTTCTTCTCTGTACTGGGGTTTGAACCCAGGGCTTTCTAGGCAGGTAGATGCTCTACCACTGCCAGCCCCAGGAACTACACTTGCAAATGCAGACTGAAAACATAGTAAACAGGCTCAAACAAGACTCAGGAACAGATGTGAGGGACAGCAGGGGTACACCCTAACCTTTAAAGGGTGACTCCTAAACTGAGAAGACAGCATGCTTCTCTGCATGGGAGGCTGGATTACTGACCTAAGTAGGAAACCCTCCATTACCTGGTAGGTCTTTAACCTCCCTGAGTTGCTTGCCAGCCAGTCAACGATGTCCCTGGAGATCACGTACCCAGACCCACACGCAAAGGCAGGGTACGCTGGGCTAGGGTACTCCAGCTCCTGCCACTTTCCAGTTCGGTCCACTGCCCAGTTCAACCTGAAACTGAGATGTTAATAAATGTGCCTTTTTTGTGTTCTTCTGACACGTATCTTACCACTATTAGACTAGACTCCTATTATCACAAGAAATGAACAAGTTTGTAGAGCAGGGAAGAATGAGAAAAAACCCTTTTTTTTTTTTTTTTTTTTTTTTGGGAGGTTCTGGGGTTTGAACTAGGGCCTCCTATCTGCTAGGTAGGTGCTCTATCACTCAAGCCACTTTACCAGCCCTTTTTGAGTTATTTTTTTTTTTTGGCAGCACTGGGGTTTGAACGCTGGGCTTCACACGTGCTAGGCAGGTGCTCTTACTGTTTGAGCCACTCCACCAGCCCTTGTGATTTTTTTTCAAGATAGGGTCTGTTTGCCTGGGGCTGCCTTTGAACTGTGATCCTCCTGATCTCTGCCTTCTCAGTAACTAGGATTATAGGCTGAGCCACCAGCACCTGGCTGTGTTGAGATGGAGTCTTGCTTTATGCCTTTGACAGTCTGGACTAAGATCCTTCTATCTGTCCTTCCCCACATAGTTGGGATGACAGGCAGAGCCACCTTGCCTGGCTATTGGATGAGATGGGGTCTTGCAAACTTCTGACTGTGATCTTCCCAATCTGTCTCTGGAGTAGCTAGAATTACAGGCATCAATCACCTCACCTGGCTAGAGAAAAACCTCTTCATCTAAGGAAAGGCATTATCATTTACTCATTGGTAGTTTATATAAAAGATTGGGAAGGTACATCCTCTAAAAGTTTCTGAATGGAAAGTAACAAAAGAGCACTGTGTGTTACCTAATGAAAACAAACAAAACAAAGCTTGCATCAAATCACTAGTCCTGTTCCGTACTCTGAAGCAGCAAGAACATGCACGCGGATCCCAGCACAAAATGCACCACAGCTCTGAGTGCCGTTTACTTGTAGGTCATGGGAATGAAAGCCCCGCCTTTCTCTCTCCTTCATCTCAGGTTAGCCTGAGGTTTTTCATTTAAAAACTTTACTAAGTGTGGAGTAACAGCACAGTGACCCAGGACTCTCAAGAGGAAATGTCCTCTTAACCACATTTTCCTTGTGAAAAATGACTTGCACACATTTTGCCTTGGTCACCTTTGGTCAGGATATGAATGCCAATGGCCAAGCACATTTCACTTACTTTCCCCACCAAAAATTAGGCCCATCCAGATTCTTCTGGGCAATTCGGTTAAATACAGCTTCTAAGTCTATGTAACAGTCGTCATCTGTCTTCAGCAACAAACGGAAGCTGGTGGTCTCCATGGTCCTGTTGGCAGGAGGGGGACATGCACGTTAGTGCAGCCCTGCAAGGAAACAACGCGACACCAAGCAGCTGTCACTAGAACTAGTTCAGAGCTGCCTGTACCACCTGGCTGCATCCTTGGTGTCTCTCACTCCTTGAACACCACTGCTCTCCACGATGGCCCCACGGCGCATTTACTAAGTGCGTAACGTGGAGGCTCCACAGTGATTTTAGAAGAGAAAGGAAAAGTACAACATGTGTTCTAACAAATGGTCCTTGGTCACTATTCCCTGCTGGGCTGACTGGTCTACCAAACATCTGAACCTTGCCAAGTGTTCTTAGTGACAAAGACCCAGGCTTATGGGACAGGCTTAGAGCTCTCACAATACTGTTGTATGAAGAGCATTCCATACTATTATTCATTTTACCTTTAAGATGTCTGATGGTTTAAAAACCTGAGTTATGGCCGAGTATGGTGGTTCCTATAATCTCAGCTACACGGGAGCTAGAGATTGTGGGGATTTGCCAGTGTGGCAAGAAGAAGTTGGTGAGACCTTATCTTAACCACCAAGTTGGGTACGGTGGTACAACACTTGTAATTTCAGCTACTGGGCAGGCATAAGCAGGAGGACTGAGGTTCCAGGAAAGCTCAGGGAAAAGAATGTGCAAGGCCCATCTCAATCAAAGCTGTCATCCCTGCTGCGCGGGAACATGAATAGGAGGATCACAGTCCAGGCTGCCTGGACATAAACGGGAGGTTCTATCTGGAAAATGCATAAAGGAAAAAGAGCTAGGGGCGTGGCTCAAGTGGCAAAATGCCTGCCTTGCAAGTGCAAGATCCCAGTATCAACAAAACAAAACTAAAATGCAAGGCCCTATCTGAAAAGTAATTAAAGCAAAAAGGGTTGTCGATGTGGTTCAAGTGGAAAAGTGCCTGTCTAGCAATCATAAGGCCCTAAGTTCAAACCCCAGTACTGGGGGGGAAAAGCCAAAAACCCCACCCTGAGCTCTGACACTGAAACAGATGTTCCCTTGGGATCACTTTCCAGCCATTAAACATTATTTATGACCCTTTAAGAAGAACAGGCGGTGACATCAAAAGATACATAATGGAGTTGGGCAGGGTGGTGCTGTAATCCCAGCTTTTGGAGGAAGTTCTCACAATTTGAGAACAACCTGGGCAGTTACAAAACTCCATCTCAAAAACAAAAGGGCTGGGAGTGTAGCTCAAGTGATATAATCCCCACAACCACAAAAGATAAACAAAAACCATGATGACCACTAAGAACTCGAACTCCTTCACCTCCGCTGTCAATCTCGGAACATCTCTGTTTTAAAATGCAGTCTTGCTGGGGAACCAGCCACAACAGAAATTTCACAAAGTGAAACCTGGAGAAAGCTTCACTAGGTCAAGGGATGGCAAATTTAGTGAACACGGTTCCTTATCAAATATCCCATTAAGCTCGTTTCTAATTCAGGGCATAAGGTGCGTACAGTTTTTCCTGATTGGAAATAAACCTTTGTGATAAAGGACATTTAAGTCATTGGCACCTCAGCTAAATCAAGATGGCAGAATAATGACACTTACATGACACTTGGGCTGGGTGCAGTTCAGTAGAAGAGCACTTGCCAAGCATGCATGAGGCCCTGGGTTTGATTCCCACAAAAACCCAGAAAGTATCTGAAAGCACACCATGGAGGTGAGGTGGTGTGGACAGCGGCAGGGAGTCTGAGGGCCAAGAGGTTAATATGTGCATAAAGAAAACCTGCACCCTGGGAAGCACCTCCCGGTAGAAAGTCCTAGGAGGACGCCCCTCACTCTGCCGGGACTCACTTCCCCTTCCAGACCTGTTTCCACCCTGGACTCCATCTATGCCTGGAGCGCCCATCAGTGGCCTTGAGATGCAGCTGTCCAAACCTGGTCCTGTCACCGTTCATACACTGGACCATCTACCACTCAGGACCAGGAAATACTCAAGAGCTTCCACAGAGAAGGAAAGAAGACAGAGACCCTGGGATCCCCTTTACAGGTGGATGGAGGTGGAAAGTCTCCATCCCGCAGTCAGGGGAGACACTACTGAGGGACTCAACGGGACACCATGGTATCTCAGGTAACTAGTAACACTGGCTACATAAGGTAAGTATTACACGTGTGCAGTTATAAACAACAGGGAGACTAAAAGCAACTGGATTTCAATGAGCCATCCACCAAAGTCTGGGAACCAAGGCAAGTAGTTCTCTCTCCTTCTTTCCCTTCATCTTTTTTTTTAAGAGCCAGGGTCTCACTGTGCTGCCTAGGCTGACCTGAACTCCTAGGCTAAAGGGATCCTCTTGCTTCAGCCTCCAAGTAGCTGCGACTTTGGGCATACCCTACTGTGCCTGGCCCAAGGCAAGAAGTTTTTAAATTGGTGAAGTAGAGTAAGCAAGGTAGATTTATGTGAGCAAAATTCAAATTAGCAGACTGGGTGTGACTACATTAGGGAGTTTGGGTGGGGTATGACACAACTGACAAGGGACATCTTCAGACTCCCTCACCTCCGTCTGATGCTAACTGGAGAGAAGTCCAGGAGTGACTCCAAGTGAGTCAACTAACTTTGCCTTGTTTGTTTTGGGCCACGTGTAGATCTACCCATCCAAGAAGGAAGCAGCGGCACGGTAGAAAAGGCCTGCGCCAGGAGCCAGGAGCCAGCAGGCCACATCCCAGGGGTTCAGTGATCTTAGGTTTCTGACATTTAAAACGTCAGCAGTTTATGTTGCTAAGTTGTTTCTCATTCCAAAGAACAACACACTAATCACTTTCCAGCCTACCATCTATAGAAGCTGAGCAGCTTTGCAGGGACATTTCGGTAAGTGTCCACGACATCCACAAAGACGATGTCGTCATGGGCGCGGCCCTCCTCCTCCAGTAAGGCATCTTCTTCCCGCAGACCCCTCAGATGAGTCACCATTCTCTGAGGCCGGGAATGGAGGCTGCGCAACAGAGCATCGCCCTCTGAAAGGGAAAGGCGACAGCTGCAGAAAAATGCATGACCTAGAAGTTATGATGTCATCGATTCCTCCCCTCCAGTAGTGTAACGGAGTCGCTTGTTAGGAACTTCAAGTAGAAGCGCAGCTGGGTAGAGTCCACCCGTAGACGCAGTCTTGGAGGCATTACTTTACACAGGTGCAGGCCATTCACTCCAAGGTGACGTGTAACACTGGGAGAGCAGCCAACCTCACCTAACCCTAACTGTGGTCTTTACATAATAGAACACAGGAGTTAAAAAAAAAAAGCAATCGTTCGTTCTTTTTTTTTTTTTTTTTTGAGACAGGGTTGTCACATAGCCCAGGTTTGCCTGGAACTTGTGATCCTCGTCTCAGCTTTCTTAATCTTCCAAGCGCTGGGATTACAGGCATGCACCACCAATGCTTGGTTGAACAATCTATTTTAATTTTGGTACTACTGGGATTTGAACTCGGGGCCTATGCTTACCTAGCTAGCTAGCGCCTAACACTTGAGCCATGCTGCCAACTCAAGCTACTTTTTTTTTGGTGGTACTGGGGTTTGAACTCAGGGCCTCACACTTGCTAGGCAGGTGCTCTACCACGTGAACTACTCCGCCAGCCCTTTTTTTGTGTGTTGGGTATTTTCAAGATAGGGCCTCGAGAACTATTTGCCTGGTCTGGTCTCAAACCACAATCTTCTTGACCTCTCTCTCCTGTATTGGGGCTTGAACTCAGGACCTCCTTGAGCCACTCCACCAGCCCAATTTTTTGTGGTAGGGGTTTTTGGTTTTTTTTTTTTTTGAGATAGGGTCTTGCGAACTATTCGTCCTGGCTGCCTTTGAACTGCGATCCTCCTGATCTCTGTCTCCTGAGTAGCTTGGATTATAGGCGTGAGCCACTGGTGCCTGGCTCACTTTAAGATTTTTGTAACAAGCTATCTTTTAAGTGACAAAAAAGATCACCTTTTTTTGTGAGCATATGAAGTAACACTAAGTACGTGAGGTTCAGAATGCTTTTCAACTAGCTACTCACCCTGAATAGTGTAGATAAAACCACCTGCGACTCCCTCCACACCTTCCAGGAATTCATGGGGCAGCAGGCCCTCGCCAGCCTGAAAGGAACAAGAATACAGGTGGTTGGTGTGTCACTACAAAAAGCAAATCCATTAAAATGTTAAAACTGACCCGACAGAAGTCATACTAATTCCACCACAGCAGGTAAATCCATCTAAGAGGCTGGTACGCTAGACTGTCAGGGTGACACACACACTTTAACATCTTTATTAAAGACCAGGTGCGCAAGCTCCAACCTGTGGAGACTCGTGTTCTCGTACGTGCAACCACAGTACTACAAAACCGATTTATTTTACATCTCGACTCACCACTTTGCAAAATATTAAATGTAAATAATGATTACTTTCGATTTTTTTTTTAAGAGTGAAAATCCTCATAAAGCTGGGCACTGGTGGCTCATACCTATAATCCTAGTTACTTGGGAGGCTGAGACCGGGAAGACTGAGGTTCAAGGACAGCCTGGGCAAACAGTTCTTGAGACCCCCACCTGCAGAATAACCAGAGCAAAAGTGACTGGAGATGTGGCTCAAGCAGTAGAGCATCTCCTTTGCAGGCATGAAGCCTTGAGTTCAAACCCCAGTCCCACCAAAAAAAAAAATAAATAAATAAAATCCCGAGTCCAAAGAGATGTTGGCACATTTGGAATCACGTGGCCATGCAGATAAAAGCTGTGAGGTCAATGGTCTCCGACACTCAAATGACACTACTGACTACCGATGCTATTTAAGTCGACAGCCTACTACAGCGGCCACAGCGTCTCAGGATCAGAGGGGCTTTCTTCATCCGTGTCAACCTACCCGCTGCCCTTCCTCAAACTGAGTGCTCTCTTCCTGCACGCTGCCCGCCAGCAATGGGCATGTTCAAGGCATTCCTGCTGCACACTGATCTTATCGGAAGGCTTACTACCTGGCTGTTGTTTTTCCAAGCACATCTTTTCAGTGGAGCTGAACTGTGTGCAGCACGGTTTTAAAGCAAGTAGAATGAGTATTCAGGGCTGGGGGCATGGCTCACATGACAGACCACCTACCTAGCATGTGCAGGGTCCTGAGTTCAAACCCCAGTTCCACCAAAACAAACAAAAATAACAATAAAAGAAAGGAAAAGAAAAAAAAAGAGGCAGTATTTGGAGGTCATAGTGATAACATCACTTAATTTAAAATATGGTCTGCAGCTCACTGCCGAGGAAGTTAACGCTACTGAATGCTGTAGGTCAAACCCCAGTCCTGAAAAAAAAACCAATCAAATCAGGGCCTCCAAAACAACGTATGCACCACATACACACTTGTGCCTGTGTGTCTGTGCGTACTTGCTCCTGCCCCGTGAGAGCTCCATTCGGACCCAGGCAACCTCCTGCTGCCGCTCTGCTGCCCTGCAGGAGGTGTGCAGTGAATGCTTTTTTGTTTGTTTGCTACAGAGTCTCACTATGTAGCTGCCCAGCTTGGGCCTGAACTCATGATCCTCCTGCCCCCCTGCCTCCTTCATGCTGGGATTACAGGTGTGCATTACCATTCCAGGAACTTTTGTTTTTTTGGTGGCAGAGTCTTGCTAAGCTACATAACTCAGGCTCCTTCTTCCTCAGACTCCAAAGTGCTGGAATTACAGGAACACACCACGCTGCCTGGCAATAAATGCTTTTTGAATAAGTAATAACATATCACATGATATTCATGCTAACCTCAGGAGTCAATTCAGTGAACAGGGTTAATACTCCAATCACTGAGTTGTGAATTTAAATGCCAAATGCTTTCCTAATCATTAGACTCAAGCAACAAGGGGAATAAAAGGCAGTCTGCAACACCGCCACACTCGCCATTTGTTCAACACTATAGTCTCACCACGCCTTCCTTATCATCCTAAATGAGAAATTTACCTGTTAAATTTGTTTTTTTTTTTTTTTGAAATTTTTGCCAATTATTTATTTTTTTCTTTTATTATTCATATGTGCTACCTGTTAAATTTGGATTTGCTTTAAATCTGAATGAGAAAAATGAGTTAGAAACCCCAGAGTTGCTTCACCCAAATTAAATGAAAGCAACTATTCAATCAATCTTATTTTCTTTTTTTTTTTTTGAGATATGGTTTAAGTTGTCCAGGCTAGCCCTGAACTCCTGGACTCAAGTGATCCTCTTGCCTAGTTTCCCAAGTAGCTGAAGCCACAGGCTCTCACCACCACACACTTTACATGGTATCTTGCTGTGTAGCCCAGGCTGGCCTCAAACTTATGATTCTCCTGCCTCAGCTTCCTGAGTGCTGGATTAGATGTCCATGACTGTGCCCAGCTTTCATTTTTTTTTTTTTTAAGTGGTACTGGGGTTTGAACTCAGGGCCTTGTGCTTTCTCAGCAGGTGCACCACCACTTGAAGCACTCTTCAACCCAATGTTTTCCCCTATAGTATTTTAACTGACATTTTGGTATCAAGGTGAGACAGTGAATGAATGTGTCCTTATAGAATAGTGACTTAAACTATCAAACTTTAAAAATACACCAATCTTAAAGCAAAACTATTCACTAGTGTAGACACAAAATCGCACACACGTTTGACGTTCTGTCATCACTATGGTGACACAGAAGCATTTTTCTACTATCTTCTAAAACAGGAGAAACAGAACTCGACAATGCCTGGGATGGTGTTCAAATAAATTCTACACACTTTTGTGCATCAAGAAAGCTAAAATACATCACTAACCTAAACAAGCAAGCAAAAGGATGGCTTACTGTGATGACTCTGAGAACGCCCCCTCCATCGTTTACTGCCACTTTGTGAAGGTTTCTTGATACCAGGCCATGGAGGTCTTGGCTCTCCCACACAATTGTACCTTCAAAGCTCTTTGGGAAAAATAAGAGTAGCGAGTCAAGTTCTTCATGCTTCTCACTTGGGTTTTAAGTAAGAGCTCAGCTAAGACATTAGACAAGAGTTCGAGTTCATCCAGAGCACGTCAGTCATAGGTTTTACGAACATTTTGGGGTGTGTGTCTGGTTGTTTCAGTCAGGTTTGCAGATACCTGGCATTTCCCATGTGTCAGAAGTAGGTGCTGCTGTGCAGCTGTCACAGGCAGCCGCTCCTTCTCATGTGGGTGGCATGCCTCTGAGTGGGTGGGTCTACTCGAATGCTCCCTCCTATCAGACACTTAGTTGAGACCAAATATTCTACTAAAATAATGGAGGAATGCTTGCTGTAAATATCTATTTTTCAGCTGGGGATTGAATCCAGGGCCTTACTTATGCTAGGAATCACACACCCAGCCCTTTTGTTTGTATTTTTCTTTCTTTTTTTTTTTTAGATAGCTTCCCTGACTTGCCTGGGCTCCGCCTTAGCTCCCAAGTAGCTGCCCTACAATTCTATCACAGCTACCCATTTTGTTTAATACCGATCACTCACGCTATTTCTTATTTATTTTCCTATTGTCAAACTAACTGCCCAAAGTACGAGCTTGTCCTTCTTATCCACCTTCACGTCCCCAGTCCCCAAGACAATGTCTGCTGACATAACGTGAAGCTGAAAGTCACCCAAAATGGTGTTTTGGTCTACACGTAAGGACACAGCTCTAATATAAAAAAAAAAATTCCTACATCACCACACCTGGCTTCAACTGATGTACCTGTAAGCATCCTTAACTGTTATCATCTATGAAGCTCCTAATCACTGTGGGGAGCCCTGGGGCACACCTTGCAGACACACCTCAAGCCATGTCACCACTTCCTCATCTTTAAAAGAGCAAACCTCAAAGGGCTGCTCTGAAGATCAGTGATAACACAGACTGCAGTGTCCTTGTTTAGAAAAGGCACACCAACTGTGACTGTCCTTTTCAAAAAGGCTCCATTTTCTTATCTTTGAAGGAGTTGACTGTGTCTATACTTTATTTAGGTGTACTGAAATGAAGGTCAGATATGTGTTTGGAAACACAAACATTCCCACAAATAGACATATATGCCAAAAAAAAAAAAAACCACCCTAAAAACAGCAGAAGAAATTACCAAATATATTAGGCAACAGATGGGTGCCACCACATGCCTTTTTTTTTTTTTTTTTTGGGGGTGAGACTGGTGCTCCACTGCTTGACCAAACATCCAGTCTGTTTTGCTCTAGTTATTTTTTGGAGATAAGGGTCAATGAAGTATTTGCCTGGACTGGCCTTGAACCTTGATCCTCCCAATCTCAGCCTCCCAAGTAGCTAGGATTACAGGTGTGAGCCACCAGCCCCAGATACATCGTATTCTTTAAACCTAAGGGTCTTATTGTCAAATATTCAACAGTGACCACATATTATTTTCATATTTTTTTATAATCTGGGAAAAATTTTGAACCAAGTATGCATACCCAGTTAAGTAAATTTAGGGTCAATCATTTTTTAGACATGAGTCATAGCTGCACATTTGAGTCTATACTATTACAAAGCCATAGGCTGTGTATTTGGAAATTAGAAATAAAAGCGGAGCAGCTCACATCTTTACGTAATCACAACAGGCCATGATAAGCTAAAAGATGAGGCAAAGTCATTCTGGTGGGGGAAGGGAAGCTCGGACAGAATTTCAAATTACTAGTGAAGAAGTCTTAAAGGAGTCTGGGTTGGCAAAGTGTGAGATTAGAACACATTCAGAAAAGTGTAAAGCTTTTGTATGACTGAAGGCTGAGGGAGGAGGTAAAAGACAGGCTGGAGGCCAGTTCTAATGGTTGTTGACAGTCTCCCCACCCCTGAACAGGTGTCTTGACAGTGGGAAGACTGAAGATGCAAGCCCAGGAGTGACACAATCACACTGCAGTTTTAGGAAGGTCCTTCCAGTGGCTGAGTGGCAACAGAGTGTGAAAGGCTGGACAGGAAAGTGGCAACTGGCTATTTACAAAGTCAGTGAGGAAAAGCTATAGCAGAGAGGCCCTCTGCTAGAGCTGACTCACCCTGATACAAGTGGAAACAATGTTTCCAATAATTGGGAGAAGCTGCTTAGTGAAGCTGGAGCAGTAAAATCAATTCCTTAAAATAATGTACCAACTGCCCATTGCAGGAAAGCTGGGCTTAGCCAAGTATTTGGGCATGGTAGCAGTATCTAGGGGAGAAGGACGTAGGAACTGGAAGATACGAACTGACATCCTAGTTTATACGCTGCTTTTCTGAATTTAGGGTCATTCACTGGGGATGTGCACATCCGTAAGTGAAGTAACCGGAAGGAAGGTCAGTGTTAGGCCTGCAAGCTAAGTAGAGCCCTGACAATGGAGGCTGCGAGGTTTAATCCTGAATTTTTCTCGTGACAATGACAACGCCTGTCACTCCTGGTCTACTCTACTTCCTTCTAACCTTTAGTAGCGTAACATTTAGAAGATGGGTAAGGAATGTTAGAAGCACTGGTCAATCTGGTGAGGGCCTGGCTACCAGAGCTGAGGGCGAGTCCCACCCATGACTCTGGGTCAGATGACTAGGAAAAGGAGATGAGACTGGATGGGACAGAGATGACGCAACCATCTGAATGTCCATGGGACATGAAGCAGAGTTCAGGGCACAAAAGCCCATCTGGAGTTCACAGTAAGTCCGGGCAGATGCTAACGGGCAAAATGGTCTACGAAGAATGCGTGAAATAAAAAGAGGACTAGGAATCAGGCCCTACTGATTCACAGCAGCGAAAGACGAGGATGGTAAACCGTGAGACTACAAATGTACACAATGGGATGGAACAAGCCATCCCTCCCCGGCCATTCAACCCATGCTTGCGATCTGACTTGCTAGTGCCCAGTAACTCCTTCCTAGTACCCAACGCTATTTAGTGACTAAGCCAACAATGTTAATTATGGGACAAATCCACTGGCCCCAAAAAGATCTTGACTTGCTCCCTGAACCTACTTACCCAGCAGTTGTCCTGTCTTCATGCAGGAAGGGAGCTCTACTTCTGCCAGCCTCTGCACCCCTCCTGCTCCAGGTGACAAATGCTTGCTTCTATCCCTCACCTCTTCTCTCACAGACCTGCTTTGTATTCTCTGACGTAAGGATCCTAAAGCCAAAAACCTCCTAAAGTGAAACAACCTATTTATGGTAATCTGTGCTAAGATCATAAAATGAAAATAAAAATCAAGTTGGATGCTGGGTGGCTCCCACTTACCATCCTATCTACTTGAGAGGCTGAGATCAGAAGGACAGTGGTTTGAGGGCAGTCCAGTCAAAAAGTTCACGAGATCTCATCTCAACCAATAGCTGGGTGCAGTGGTGTGTGTCTATTGTACCCAAGATACCCGAGAGGCTGAGCTTGAGATGGTGAGGATCCTGGTTCTATGCCAGCCCAGGCAAAAAAGTTTGCATGACCCCAACTCAACAGAAAAAAGCTGGGCATAGTGGCACCTGCCTATCATTCCAGCTACAGCACTGAGTGTAAAATTAGAGAACTGCAGCCCAGGCAGAGACCCCATCTCCAAAATATCCAGAGCAAAAAGGACTGGAGGAGTGGCTCCAGCAGCAGAGTGCCTCCTAGCAAGCATAAAGTCCTAAGTGTATTTATTTTTTTCTTTAATTTTTTTATTGTTGTGCTGAGTGGGGGGTATACCTGGCATTTACAAATGTGTAATACCTGAGTTCACCCCCTCCATCATTTTTCTTTATCCTGTTCCTGGGATAGTTTCAATAGGTCTCATTTTTCCATTTACATGCATGCGTACACAGTATGTACACCACATCCACCCTCCCACACCTTTCCCCACCTCCACCCCCCTCTCCAAATCCCCCCCACCGCAGGAATGTAAAGTCCCAAGTTTAAACCCCAGATGCACCTTTCTGAATATCAGCAGGGAAGGTTCACCCACTCCCCAACTTCATTTTTATTACAAAACAGTTCAAACCCACAGAAGAGCTGAAATCACTGAGCCTCACGAGCCAGATTTGCACATTTCCTTCTAATACTTTCCTGTTGTTAAGATCCTTGAAGTAAAATGCAGTTATCACAAGACGGTTGCATGTGTCTTGTTCCCTAAGAACAAGGACATCTCCAGGAAAGTGATAGTTCTCATGAGCCAACAAAACATTTCCTTCTCCAAGGTTGACTGCAGACTTGTGATCAGCTGCAGCTCTACCCTCGGGCTCCTTCCTCACAAAGCCCCTCAAGCTCGAGACACTGACTTTGGGGGAGCGGAGGGGGGGTCCGTTCCTTCCCATGCACTCGAGGGTGCAGAGCTTCACCCTGGTCCCTCTGCCTGCCAGGTGCTACAGTCACCCCACAGCCAGCGCTAACAAAAGAACTTGTCTCCAGACATTGCTGAACGTCCTGTGAGGCGCAAGTGTTCCGGGTGAGAAAGCGCTCCACTATAGAACAAGACCCCAAATCTAGATGAGAAGTAGAAGCACTAACAACAGAGTACAGTCAGTTGGGGGCAAGCATAGTTTCTAAGCAGTCCTCCTATATGAAACCAGTTAGTCCCAGAAAAGTCCTCTACCTGGTCAACACAGGACCTCCACCTCAGAGGACCCACGCAGCAAGGGTACCTCACACAGGTCCCAGAGTCATGAAGTGGTAGAGACAGGACTCAAACTCACATGTGCTACACCTGCCTGTAACACCCCCCACCACACACAGCTACTCACTCACAGGGGCATCACTATCTCTCCTACACAGACCACACATACCAAGTCTTTTGTGAAAATCAACCCCAAAATGCCTGCAAGAAGAAATCACGTATTTTAGAAGTGTGTTTGCCTTTGACCCAACAATTCATCCTAAGAAGTAATCAGTTACACACGTAAAATAGAGGTGCAAATCATGTTCACTAAGTACACTGAGAAGCTAGAAATACACCAATATCCAACACAGAGTTAATAAACAATATTTGCATACAATGTCATTCTGTGCAACTATTAGGAAATATGAAATAGATTTCTATCAAAAGATGTTCAGATGTCAGAGAAAGGAAATCATAAAGGGTGAGCGATACAATCTAGCGAAGTACATATGCAGAAGCCACGGTGCTAAATGTGAGCATCTCTGAGTTAGGACACTCGGGGGTCTTCTCTCTAGCTGATGCGCATTTTCTATTTGTTCGAGTGTTTTAGTTCTGCTTCTGTTGAAGGTGTTTTAAATGGACATTCACATACAGGTGAAAGGGAGCGCTCTGACACTGACAGAATAACTGCTTGTACTTAATTCTCTGGAGGTCTAACTGCAGAGTGCTCCACTCCCAAGCATCTGCACCCAGCACCCCCTTCTGCCACCTGGACGACCTGGGACTGCCCCGGGCAGCACGCTCCCACTCGGTGAAGGACCGCACCAGCGCCAGTCTTCATGGTGCCCTGTACCTCTGGCAAGATGAACTGCTCCACAGGCTTATACCACAGCTTGTTCACCTGTACACCACAGCTTGGAGGACTGAAGCGAGCAACGAACAGGGCCTCCTGTATTGGGGGGAGGGGCATTGTGAGGGATGGGAAGACAGAGAAACAAAGACAAGGAAATGACTTCATGTTATACATGTGTATCTGACAAGTCTTCAGCAACCTTATGCTTTGGTCAGGAAAGTCTGCAATGGCTGTAACCGTGGTCACTTTCATTGTTCTACAAGTACATGCCTCGGCAGCTTTGGGTTTTCTAGTATCATCATGGTTACTAAGTGATGAAGATAATCAAAGCCTTCATGAAGCTCTTGAATACTAAATATAACTCACATAATCTAAAGAAAACCACCTTGAAGCATTAAGGAAAATCGAGAGGTGTGGCTACATTAAGCCACACACTATAGTATCAAAAACCCCTAAGGGGTTGAGAATAACCCTGAAGATTGCAGCTCTCTATAGGCAGTAAAAGCACTTAGGAATCCCCTTGAAAAAGAACCTTCAGAAGCAAATACAAAACAAAACAGGAAATATAAAAGAGGACACTTTTCTTTGGGCACTGCCCTCTTTTTGAGGCAGAAGCATGTTCTCACTCTCCCATGCCAAGTTACCGCTAAAGCGGTCTGGACCTCGCTGATGATCAGTGGATGGTGAGTACCTCTTTCACGATGCAGCAAGGATACTTTCTGCATTGAGTCTCCCCATAACCCCTTTAGCATCCACCTAAGACCAACCCTTCCTTGAGGACGTAATCTTTGGCTAAAAATAAAGCAACTAGCTGGGCGCCGGTGGCTCACAGCTGTAATCCTAGCTACTCAGAAAGCAGAGACCAGGAGGACTGCAGTTCAAAGCCAGCCAGATCTAACAGTTCCTGAGACCCTATCTTGAAAACACCCAACACAAAATAGGGCTGGTGGAATGGCTTAAGAGGTTGAGTGCCTGCCTAGTAACTGTGACGACCTGAGTTCAAACCCCAGTTCCACTGAAAGAAAAAAAATTAAATTAAAAATAAAACAACTAAAAATTAAATCAACTTGATCAAAATATTGAATATTGTATGTCTGAACTAAAGTATTCGATAGACAGCTCAAGCATTATGAATAGTTAAAAATAAACTATGGATCAAAAATTCACAATTAATCCTAATTTCTAAATACTAACTGTTTCAGTCACCGCCTGGTTTTTTTTTTTTTTTTTTTTTTGATGGGATTGGGGTTTGAACTCAGGGCTTTGTGCTCGCAAATGAGACTGGAGGTGTGGCTCAAGCAGCAAGCAAGTGCTTATCACACCTGCAGTTCAGTTCTCTCTTCATGCTTTAGTGTCAGGAGATCTTTCTGTAGTGCTGGGGATTGAATACAAGGCCTCCCACATGGTAGGCAGCACTTTACCCCTGAGCTACATCCCAGCCCTTCAATAAAATCTTGAACCATGATAGTAAGCACACTACTACAGCTGAGTAGCTCTAGAAAACTTCCAAGTTTTAACCATCAAGGCCGGAACAGTTTGTTCCCTTTCTCTTATATTTACGTCTGTTAACGCATAAGCAAAATGCAGAATCCGTTTTGTTTTGCTTTGTTTTTCTGAGATAGGGTCTCACTATGTAGCCCAGGCTGGCCTTCAAACTACAATCCTTCTGCCTCAGCCTCCTGAGTGCCAAGATTACAGTGTGTATACACTACCATACCCAGCTAACCTCCAGATTCTTTAGAGGAAGAAAGAACAGGACAAACAGGGAGAAAGAAGAAATTCAATCTTAAATTGATTTGTACATTCATTAGGAGACTCTCTAATAGTACATCCATTGCTAATAATCAATATTAACAATACAAAAACATTTTTAAATACAGAACAGAATTCTGCTTCCAGTAACAGCAGACCACTTCCAAAGGTAACAATTATGAACTCTGGGCAAAAATAAAAAGCAACAACCTGAAAGCGCTGCAATTCAAACACAGATGGAACCTGGAGGACAATTACACTTAGAGGAAAATGCCCTGGCAAGGAAAGGGTCACTTGTCAAACACACCCTTGAAGCTGAACCCGAGCAGCCCAGCTAAGGGCAAGAGAATTCAGCTGCTCAAACGGTTTAGAAACTGTCCAGCCTGATAAAACAAAATAAAATCAATACTCTCTAAGGAATATAATGGGAGTTCCTATAATCAATCACTGACAATATCTATGACACAATCTAAGGTTACTAGATGTAAGACGAAACAAGAAACTGTTACCCATCAATAAAGACAGACTCCACAGTGGCTTGCAATAAGCAGACAAGATATTAAGGACCTGGGGAGAGGGGTGGAAATCAACCCAGAGTTCCACATCCAGGAAATATTCCACAATAATAAAGGGGAAAACGGAAAGAATAAAAGAAAATATTTTCAGAAAATGGAAACGAAGTGACTTTATCAGCAGTGGACTTGTACTCTAGGAAATGCTGGACTGGGAGTGCAGCTCAGAGAGTGAGGCTTCCTTAGCACACTCAAGGCCCTGGGTTCCACGCCCAGCATGACAAAAAGAAAGAAAAAACAAAAGCAAAAACCAGAAAAAGAAATAATAATGGCTGATATTTGGATCAGAGAGAGGAAAAAAGAGCATAAGAAGTAGAAACTATGTGGGTAAAGATAAAAGACTATTTTTCTCTAATCCCTGAAAGCCTGACTGTTGAAGCAAAGCTTGTGCCCTGTAGTGTGGGCTTCATGGTGTCACAGAGGTACTGCGCAGGACGACTACAGGAGAGCTGATGTAGGACAATGGAGCCGCAGAGTTGCATAGCTCTCAGATTTTACACAGAGTTTTAACAAGGCTGGTTATGTCAACCATTCCACAAAAATAATAAACAGCTACAACTACAAAGATAATACAGAAATTAAAATGGAACTCCAAAGAATATTCAATCAACTAAAAAGAGGCAGAAAAGGAGGAAAAGACAAAAAAAAAAAAAAAAGGTGGAAAAAGTATAAAACAAATGGCGAAATGAACAACTGAAATCTGACCACCTTGCTAAGTGACTTCCTGTGAACAGAAGTTCCCAGACCAGACAAAAAGACCACAGAAGCATGATATCCCACAATGCATGAAAGCAGGAATATGTCTGGACCAAGAGTTTACTCTGGGAATAGGACAGGTCTAACATTCCAAAGTCAATCCATACCATCATCCTAACGGTACGGAAGAATCTTGGAAACCCTCCTGCCAAAAAACGACTTGTCAGTGAAAAAGGGAGAACTCACTCATCACACCATATGGTGAATGAGCCACAGAGTCAAGAAGTCTTACTCAACACAGTGCTTCCTATAGGATTCCACTCATGTGTAAAGTCCCAGAACAAGGCAAAAGTACTCTATGGCATACGAAAAAATCCCAACAGTGACTGTGTCTAGGGCACAGGGAAGGAACTGACTGCAAGGAACATAAGGAACTTTCTAGGGCTATCTGCTTCATATCTTCATAGGAGTTAGGGCTAAACAGGTTTATAAGGTTAAAAAAAACTGAATTCAGGGTTAGGCTGACACCTGTATTCTCAGCTACTCGGGAGGTGGAGATGTGGAAGGTTAAGGTTCGAGGCCAGCCTGGTCAAAAAGTTAGCCTGACCCCATCTCAACAAGTAAGTCAACCATGGTGCCTGATTTTGGTAATCACGGTTATACGGGAGGCTATAGGTAGGAAGGGTCTAAGGCTGGCCCTGAGCAAAAAATGAGAGACATGACCTGAAAAATAACTAAAGAAAAAAAAAAGGTCTGGGGGTGTTACTCAAGTGGTAGAGTGCCAGCCTAGCTAGTGCAAGGCCCTGAGTTCAAATCCCAGTACCACCAACAAAACAAAACCCCCATCATACCACTTTACATAACTTTTAAAAAATTATGAACAGATTAAAGTCTAGTTGTTATGCTTGCTGAAGTGTTCAGGGTTGAACAGCTGCAATTCACTCTAAAATAAATTTTTAAGAATAGACTGATGAACAAACACATGTGACAAAGAAATACACCAAGATTCTCACTGCTGCAGCATCTAGCTGATGGTATACAATTGTTCACCGCACAGCTCTTCCAAGTTTTGTGAGTTTATTTAAGTTTTTGACAGTACTGGGGTTTGAACTCAGGGCCTCTAAGATTTCTACCATTTGAGGCCCATCTCCAGCCCAGTTTGCTTCAGGTGTTTTACATAAGGTCTCACATTTTCATCCCTGGGAAGGACTACACTGTGATGAATCTCTTGCACAGGTGGCATGCAACACCATGCTCAGCCCATCTGTGGAGATGAGGGGTTTTGCTAACTTTTTGTCCAGACTAGCCTTGAACTGTGATCCTTCCAACCTCTGCCTCCTGCGTAGCTGGGATACACATGTGAGCTGTCATGCCCAGCAAGTATTCTGATTGTTTAAAACCCAGAAACAGATCCTTTCAAATACAATTCCATCCTATACAACTTCAGATATACCCTGTGAACAAATCAAATTTCTTCAAATTCAGGAACAGACTAACCTCAGTTGTTTTATTTCCCATATTCTGAAGCAGCTATTGGCCTTATTAAAGCTTTTTAGGATTTGAAGAGACAGTAACTCACTTTTCCTAGCAGTTCTAAACTGTTTATACTTACTAGCAATTTTTTTGTTGGAGATGGAGTCTTGCTATTAGCCCACACCAATCTTGAACTCAAATCCTCTTGCCTTCACTTCCCAAACAGCTGTGATCACAGGTGTGTGTCACCACGCCTGGCTCCATTATCAACTTTCAAAAATTCTGAGGCTTTAACAAACTTTAGGTTGGAAATTTCTAATCTGGTCCAACTTCTTTTCTAGACAGAACACATTTATTCCTAGGGAATCTCTATCCAAGCCAGCACTGCATCAACTACAATGCATCCAGGGAGCAAGGGAAGAAAAATGGGGCATGCCTCCTAACCAGAATCAGCTTCCCAATCTGCCACATGCCACCAGAAGTTCTGTTTCTAAGAAGGAATCATGTTCAGAGAAGTGCATACCTCCTGCTCGGCCTGATAAAGCTTGACTGTGACGTTTCTCTGGAAACCTGCATCACTGGCATCGTAGAACACACCAAGACTGGTGATCACGATTGGGTAGAGGACACGGAAGCTCACGCTGACAACTCGGTCCTCAGACAGCCCTGACGAAGCATCTTCGGAGAGACTGAATGCCTCGATTTCCTGATTCAATACTAAGGATGCAATGAGAATGGGTTTTACACAACGGGACAATGCAATCTTTTATTTTACTAATGTGGAAGTGAAGAGGGCACAAAGACCTGGGTTTGACCCTCAGCACCACCTCAATAAATAAACAGATAAAACTGTCTTCTCTCCCCTCATATACCTACAGATCATTTGGGTCCCCACTTTCGACTCCCTGGAAAGTAGTTTACACTGCAGATGCTCAACAAAAGGAGACCTGTTCCAACTGGAAGTGATGGCTACTTCTCAGTCATAGACATGAGCAGGAGGGGAAAAGGTAGACAGATTTTTGTCTGGGCAAGCACTGCCAGACAGTCTAGACTCCAAACACACTGGATGACAACCAAAACTGTTTTCTTTAATATGATGAGGAAAGAAAAGACATCCTAAATAGAAGAATCTCTATTATAAGCAATAAGTCAAACACATACTAACATTCTTAGATAACATCTATCTTAAATGAATGTACCTCAAACCCAAGCTCCCTGGACACATGAAATCGTGTTGTTTTAATAATGCTGTTAACTAAATCCTACACATCACAGTACCATGGTTAGTGCTCACAGTGAGCTTTAGGTACTATGATACCCCTAAATACTTTTTAGGTAATCAAAAAGAAAATTAGGTTCAATACTAATTTATTCTATAAATATTCTAAATGGGTAGTCTATGCATTATAAATATGAAATTTTTCTATTACTAAAAGGCTCACTCCTTCATTATTAATGAGTAATAGTACTTGGATTGTGTGTGTGGTGTGTGTGTGCGTGTGTGTGTGTGTGTGGTGTGCGTGTGTGGTGTGTGGGGTGTGCGTGTGTGGTGTGTGTGCGTGTGTGTGTGTGTGTGGTGTGCGTGTGTGGTGTGTGGGGTGTGCGTGTGTGGTGTGCGTGTGTGTGTGGTGTGCGTGTGTGTGTGGTGTGCGTGTGGTGTATGTGTGCGTGTGGTGTGTGTGTGCATGTGGTGTGTGTGTGTAGTGTGTGGTGTGTGTGTGGTGTGTGTGCGTGTGGTGTGTGGTGCGGTGTGTGTGTGCGTGTGTGTGTGTGTGTGTGTGTGTGTGTGTGGTGTGTGTGTGGGTGTGTGTGTGTGTGCGGTGCGTGTGGTGTGCGTGTGTGGTGTGTGGGGTGTGCGTGTGTGGTGTGCGTGTGTGTGTGGTGTGCATGGTGTGCGTGTGGTGTGTGTGTGCGTGGGTTGGTGTGTGTGTTGTGTATGTGGTGTGGTGTGTGTGCGTGTGGGTGTGTGTGTGGTGGTGTGTGTGTGTGGTGTGTGTGTGTGTGGTGTGTGTGTGTGGTGTGTGTGTGTGTGTGTGTGTGTGCGTGTGGTGTGTGTGTGCGTGTGGTGTGTGTGTGTGTGTGTGTGTGTGGTGTGTGTTGTTGTGTGTTGTGTGGTGGGTGTGTGTGGTGTGGTGTGTGGTGTGTGGTGTGTGTGTGGTGTGTGTTGTGGTGTGTGGTGGTGTGTGTGTTGTGTGGTGTGTGGGGTGTGTGGTGTGTGTGTGTGTGTGGTGTGTGTGTGTGTGTGTGTGGTGTGTGTGTGTGGTGTGTGTGTGTGTTGTGTGTGTGGTGTGTGGTGTGTGTGTGGGTGTGTGTGTGGTGTGTGTGTGTGTGATGTGTGTGTGGTGTGTGGTGTGTGTGTGGTGTGTGTGTGTGTGCTGGCCAACCACTCTACCACTGAGCTACATCCCTGGCCCTGGAAGATATAAAGGTAAAGTTTTCCTTCCTGTTGGTTTTCAACTCTTAACTTCTTGTAGGCTACCACATCATCACTAATACATTTTATGAAGTCCACAATCCTTTGGGTTTCCAGTGAAAGCTAAAAAGCTAGAAAACTTCTGTGTCCCCAGAAGAACACAGTTACATACAAAACTTTGCTTATAAATCCTGGCTAAATTCACAGACATCCTAAGTTAGAAACTCCTGCTTTGTAACACAGACCCAATTTATTTAAAAAGCAAGCTGAAACCCAGGGTCTTGAATGTGAAGTATTTACAAGTCTCAGGAGGCATTCTAAATAACTTCTTAGCACTTACTCTATCTTTGTGTCAGTCTCCATAAGATCGATCTCTCTCTCTCTCTTTTATTGGATAGTGGGGTTCTGAACTTGGCCTCATTTGATACCACTGAACATTTCTGGCCTTCTTGGTCTTAGTTATTTCTCAGGTAGGGTGTTGTGCTTTTGCCCAGGGCCAGCCTCAGACCACAGTCCTACCTACAGCCTCCTTCATACTTGGGTTCATTGGTCTGTGCCACAATGCCTGGCTTTATTGATGAGATGGAGTCTCACTAACATTTTTGCCTTGGCTGGTCTCAACAGTCCTCCTGATCTCCTCCTCCCAAGTACAGCTAGGATTACAGGTGTGAAGTGACATGCCTATTTATTTATTTTTGAGACGCGTCTCACCATGTAGTCTAGGCTGGTCTTGAATTTCTTAGCTCAAGTGATCCTCCTGCCTCATCTCCCAAGTGCTGTGATTACAGATGTGTGCCACCATGCCCAGCTAGAGGTAGCTATTCAGCACCCTCCCACACTCTGTTTGTAGATGATGAAACAGGCAGAGGAGACCACACACCCACAGTATGACAGAACTGGCTGTAGAGCCATCAAGCCTGGATTTCAGAGCCCACATCACTGTGTCCCTAAAAACTGAGGCATATATAACTCTAAAGATTTGACGAACTCTACAATACCAGAAGTTGTAACTAGCACACTGGATAAGTGGACTCACAAGTGAATATAACGGGAAGTGCTAATAAAGACAACGGTTGTAAAATTATTAACTGACTAAAATTGGTTCCTGGTGACACAAAAAACCAATAAGGATTGCTTTCTTCATCCTCAGACTCCCCACTGCTTTTTAATTCTAAGGAGTAAAAAGTATTACTTGTGTGTTTCATTTCTGATTTTTATTTTGCAGAATCTTGGGCAGTAATTTTTGCTTGTTTTGGTTTTGAGGTGGGTCTTCCTATGTCGCCCAGTGTGCTTTGCAGGCTCTACATGTTAGATCTGGTGGCTTCTACTGGACACTAATTTGTAGACAGCGGTCAGAGCAGGACACATACCTGGACTCGTGATATTGAGCAGTCTGCAGGAGTACGGGTCCTCTCTGTCCTCCACAGGCACTTCACAGCCACGAGCACCTATTATGAACTTCACAAGCACACTGAGAGAAGCAGTGCGGTATTAGCATAGTAGTGGACTTCACCTTGCACAGGTGCATTTCCTCAAACTCACTTCAGAGGTTTACTCTTAGATACAAGTATTCAGAAGGATCATCTCTGCCTTTATTCTTCTAGTCTAGCAAGGAGAAGGAATACAATCATCCAAAAGCTGCTGACTACCAAGTGATTTTTGTGTGAGCCAGCTCCCAAAATAAAACAAGTATGAATGTCTGGGGGGCCATCGGCAAAGCTACACCACAGTAAAATTAACTCTCAAACACTACATTTGAAATTTTCCTTTTGTTTTCTTCTATTTCAGCAGCTGCTCCTTTCTATCTAGAAGGAGGTCCCTGCTTCTCCTAGAACTTGTGTAACCTGTGGCTCCTCCCTCCACATGATGAAGTCTGAGGAAGATGATCCAGGGCTTGCCCCAGGATCTCGTTTCAATCTGCTCACTCCTCACTCCTCTCCCTGGACAATCCTTACTTCCAGGCTTCAAGTAGCCTGAGGATGACTCTTACACCAGCTTCTCTACTTTGCTCCTATTGTCCAACTGAAAAATTCTTAAGCTCTTTGGATATCGTCACCTAGATGACCCATAAGTAACTGGGCTGTGACACCTGCTACTGCTGGCTTATGATAGCAAACTGTTAAGTTTTCAGGAACTTTGTGAGATGGTTCTTAAACAAAGCCTTTACTAAAAATTAGATTGCATAAACTTAGAATTAAGTATATTAAAAATGGGCTGGGGATGTAGCTCAGTGGTAGAGCACTTGCCTAGCATGTGTACAAGGCTCTGGGTTTTATCCCCACCATTAATTTTTTTTAAAAAAGGAACCATTTTCTTACTTTACATCACTACCTGGGTTGCACGGTGGGGACACTCTTACAAAACATTACAAATGTCTTTTCCCCACGCTGCATCTAGTGATGTCTCATTGTTTGCTTAAAATTGGATTTGGGACACTATAGAAACTGGCAAGCAATACAAATAAGGACTTGACTTACTGTTTTCTTTTTTGTCTAGATTCAAGGAAGTATCAACAGATACTCTCCCAATGCTCACAAACTATTATCTGACTCAACCAAGAAGTCACTGATTTCACTGATTGACAGTGAAGTTCGGACATAACTTAGCTGTCACTGTCTTACTCTAATTTTTAGATATTTATATCAGAACTACATGCCTTTGTCCACTGAAGGCATAAAATGGTCACAGACATGACTCTGGCAACAACAAAAGTAATCTATAAGAATCAACTGGCTACAAGGAACTCACTAATTTACTGGAGTGTTGAGTACGCTGTTGTTATCTGTCAGTTATGTGCTACACATCCTTAAGATCAGTAAAACTTTTAGTAAACTCATGTACACATAAGCACCCTTATTTTCCAGAGTGCTTGTCAGTACACACTTACCAGGGACCTCAATCTCAACACATGCACCTTGGAGCTGCTTTCCCATGAAACCTGCTTTTCTCATTCAGTACTCTGTGTCTTGACTGAGGAGCCCACCATTCTCTAATCAGAAAGCTAGAGTCATTGCAGATGCCTTCTGTTCTCTCTATGTGCAGTGACCTCATTCTGGGTAAGGTTACCAGGCAGCTTCATCCCCTCAGCAATCTTCACTTGAACAGCTCCTCCCTTCCACTTAATCCTTCACACAACTGCTTGGCATGAGCTGATCACTGCGGGCCACTGAGTCACAGACCTTCCTCTCTCACAATCTCTCTCTGTTCCTCCTTCCTTCCTGAACTTTGTTTTAACACTTACCTGAGCAGCCCTCTTCTCCCTGTGCTCTGGTAACAGAGAACTGTTTGCAGCTTCTTAAATATTCTAGGCTATTTTGTACCTATTTATATTACAGTACAGGTAACATTTTATAACACTATTATACCTATTTTCTTCTGTTAAGCCGGCCTAAATATTCAGGCCATACTGTATCTGTGTTACTACATGAAGTGCGCTTACCTGCTTACGGTGGACATTGCATAAATGTTAAACTGACAAATTATGGTTTTATTACAAAGTCCTAGAACCAGGTCCTCAAAATATAAAAACACTGAGTTTGGCTCCCTCAGTGAAATGCAAGATGTAAAAGTATGCCATGACCACAGAAACATACTTTCTTTTACTCATGGCCAGTTAAGTTAAATATCTTACACAGACAACCAGCAAGTGGAATAAAAGTATCAACAGAAGTGAGTGAATAGGCTAACTAAATTACTGCATATACTTACAAATTTTTAAAAGCTATCTTTACTCTTACTAAATCCAGATACTCTGCCCCCAGGAAGCTGATTTTAGCTAATATCTCTTTTAATTTAGATAGCTCATCACTTTCATAAAACAAACCTCCAACCTTACTAAATTTAAAGAACTGCTTCAAAGGCAGATAAATTACTGATAAATATATGAATGTAAAATTTACTCACTGTATTTACTTCTGGGTCATTTATTTAACAGTTGTTGTATGTCTTACTCTGGGGCCAACCTAGGTTCTAGGTACTGAGAATACATCAGTAAAAAAACAGAAGTCCCTATGCTCATGAATTCTAGATCCTAGTTGGGAAAGAAACAACTTATAAATATATAACTAACTAGAATAAACATGCCGATTTGTGATATGTGTAATAGTAAAACCAAGTAGGGAAGACAAAAATGGGCAGGAACAGGTGCTACTTCATCTGGGCTGTCTGCTAGGATAGCATCTACACAGAGGCCTGAAGGACATTTAGCAAAGAGGAGTTGAGGCAGAAGCAGCAAGAGCAAAGGCCCAGAGGCAGGAGCACAGTTAGTGAAGCATGGCAGGTAAGGAAGGGGAAGTGTAGGGGAAGTAGATAAAGCATCTGATTCCAGATGTGACCTAAAGGCAGCACCAGGATGACATGCTGATGGACTGGGTGTGCAGGTACAAGCAGGAAATGCCAAGATCGCACTGAGGCTTCTGGTCCCAGCAGCTGGGAGACAGCAGTCCTAATTTTCTGAAATGGGAAGAAGTGTAGTACAGGAGTGTGGGCTCTGATAGCTCTGAGGCCGCCACTTGCACTTGCTGGGTTACAGTTCTATTATCACTGCAATCACGCACTAAGAACTGTCTGGAAAAGGAATGAAAGCTGCTGTGAGTAAGATAGCAATATATAAACATTCACTGCTGGTAATGAGAAAATTTACAGCCGCAATCCACCTGCATAGCTCCTCAGTTGTGCAAGTCCGTAATGCCTCAGCGCCTCACATGCCGGGAGGTCACGCCCAGCCCCCCACCAGTCTTCAGAGGCTGGCTGCACTGAGAACAGACCCCGTCCTGGCTCCTGACCCTGAGCAGGGCTCCTCCTCTCTTGTCAGCATGAGAGGCTCTGCCTAGCTCGGTTCTAGATGTGTGGTTGGGAAAGAGCATGTGTACTGCATGCACTGCAGCTCACTCAACTAAAATATGAGAAAATCGCAAAAGTTAAATTTATCTCTCTGGAATAAAACATTCTGCTGTACTGAAGCAAAGCAAAACAAACCATACTCAGTTATCTATAAATATGGAGTACGTCAACCAATGAACAGACGCTCTTCTAAGCATCTTCTGGCTTAAAAATCTCAGTTATTACTTCTGGGGCTTAACTATATGTAAGAAAAGCAAAAAGGAAATAGCAATCTCTCCAGGAGAAGAACAGGTCACATATCTGAATTAGCATCTCTGACTCTTCAAAATAAGATTTCTCTGAACTCTCAAACCAGGCAAGGGAACAATTAAGAAAACCTACCGCTGACTTAACGCTGGGTGTGCTAGCAAATGCTTCAGCCAGGTGTTTCTTATCACATTTCGAAGTTCACGGTTATTGCGAGCTGACAACACACCGACTACCACATCATAACGATTAGATTTCCACTGAGGAAATAAGGCCGTCTGATCTACAAATAAGCAACAATAAATTAAAAATAAGTCATGTCTACATTACTGAGTTCAATATGTAACATAAAAGATTATTACAAATGAAATATGCTTCTGTTTGTAGAAAATACAGGTAAAATGTAGAGAGGGTCAAAAATACCTTTAAGCTGGTGGCAATAGCTCATACTTGAATCCTAGCTACTTGGGAGTCTGAGATCAGGAGGATCATGGTTTGAGGCCAGTCCAGACAAAAAGTTCCCAGGACCCCACCTCAACCAATAGCTGGGCTCAGTGGTGTGGGCCTGTCATCCCAGCTATAGTGTGAAGCATAAAATGCAAGGATCACGGTCATGGCAAGGGCAGGGAAAAAGTGAGACTCTATTTCCAAATATTACCAGAGCAGAAAGGACTACAAGCAAGGCTCAAGCAATATTGGCTGCCTAGCAAGCATGAAGCTCTGATTCTAAAAATCACCCAGAATCCCACCATCCAGAGATAAGCACTGTTAACATTTTTGGTACAGAGCCTTTTTTTCTTCTCTGTATGTGTATGTATTCATGCTCATATCAATCTGTAAATATTTCCAAATAAGTAAGAATTGGTTGTAAAAGGCAATGTGGCACAAACAACAGAACAGGGGCCAGCAAGAGTCAACTAAGCTATAGTTAGAATCCTGACTCTTTTGCATATCAGTTATAAGTTACTTAACTTCTTCATCCTCAGTTTTCTTCAGTACAAAATGGGTATGATATTTCTCATAAAGCTGTTATAAAAATTAAATGTGATAACGTCGGGAACCAGGTATATAGGCTTCATAGTGGTCAAAAAACCGTGTGCTTTGAAAAGCGAAGTCCTACCTGGGTGGCAGTGAACTTAAGTTTGAGCGATGAAGTCCAAAGACTTTCATACTAGAAACTACCAGAACCTTTCTAAGTCCATGGACAGCAAAGCTTTTGCTGCATACAAATGTTTTAAAGAACACATGGGAAGCATCGTTTCTAGTAAGAGAAAAAGCCGTGTTTAAAGTCATGGTAATGGCTCGGTTTTTACTGTCATAATATCTAATGGGCAACATAACACTTCAATTTCCAAAACTTGTCCTTAGAAGACAGAAGAGATAGATATTTTGTCCTTGCTTTCTATCACTATTTTAAAGCTTGAGAGCTACAAGTTTATTTATAGCTCTGATAAGGGATCTATTTCATCTTTCTCCAGTGGTGGGAACTGATCCTAAATGATTTCAAAAATAAATTATCGAAGGCCAGGGATCTTTGCAACATTAAATGCAATGTTTGTATATGCCATAGGATTGAGGAATTTAGTCTAAAAGACAACAAAAACACGGTGATGCTTTTTGTAAAGGACCAATTAAAACAGTAAAATGAGAGGACAGATTCTTCTATTAGAGTAATTTTAAGGCTATTACATTAAAATGATAGAGGAACGCAGGCATTTTTGTGTAGATACTGACTTTAATTTCCACAATATGATACAGACAACATAACAGATATATCCATAAAGAGGTCTTTCAGTTGTTTCCCGCTATCGTGAATCTTGAACCAGAACGAATTCTTCTATAAATGCAGACTTTGTCTTTAACATCCATTCACATTTCAATGGACTAAGTTTGCTTACTAACAGACCATACTGAACAGCTGATATATGAGAAGCATTCTGTCTAGTACGCCTTTCTTTTTTCTGCTGTGGTTTTAGGGATTGAACCCAGTCTTGTGCATGCACTCTACCACTGAACTACAGCCCCAGCCGTTGGGTCTCATTTCATGCTCACAGTCCTATCAGGTGAGTACTTACTGAGTGAATGAAGACTAGGCATGGAGAAGTCAGTAACTCGCCCTAATTCACACAGTTATTAAATGGCTGGGCTAACATTTCATTCCAGGCAATCTAAGTGCATTCTTTTTTTTTTTTTCATTTTTCTTTTATTATTCATATGTGCATACAAGGCTTGGTTCATTTCTCCCCCCTGCCCCCACCCCCTCCCTTACCACCCACTCCGCCTCCTCCCGCTCTCCCCCCACAATACCCAGCAGAAACTATTTTGCCCTTATCTCTAATTTTGTTGTAGAGAGAGTATAAGCCATAATAGGAAGGAACGAGGGGTTTTGCTGGTTGAGATAAGGATAGCTATACAGGGCATTGACTCACATTGATTTCCTGTGCGTGGGTGTTACCTTCTAGGTTAATTCTTTTTTATCTAACCTTTTCTCTAGTACCTGTTCCCCTTTTCCTATTGGCCTCAGTTGCTTTAAGGTATCTGCTTTAGTTTCTCTGCGTTAAGGGCAACAAATGCTAGCTAGTTTTTTAGGTGTTTTACCTATCCTCACCCCTCCCTTGTGTGCTCTCGCTTTTATCATGTGCTCATAGTCCAATCCCCTTGTTGTGTATGCCCTTGATCTAATGTCCACATATGAGGGAGAACATACGATTTTTGGTCTTTTGGGCCAGGCTAACCTCACTCAGAATGATGTTCTCCAATTCCATCCATTTACCAGCGAATGATAACATTTCGTTCTTCTTCATGGCTGCATAAAATTCCATTGTGTATAGACACCACATTTTCCTAATCCATTCGTCAGTGCTGGGGCATCTTGGCTGTTTCCATAACTTGGCTATTGTGAATAGTGCCGCAATAAACATGGATGTGCAGGTGCCTCTGGAGTAACAGTCTTTTGGGTATATCCCCAAGAGTGGTATTGCTGGATCAAATGGTACTAAGTGCATTCTTCATGACTGTTCTACTCTACAGCTAATGCAGGTTAGCCAAGTTTAAATCCTGCTCTTTTCATCCTGAATGCCGGTTCAAGTGCGGAATTAGTGATAAGCGGATAACTGAAGAAGTTAGTTAGCATTCACTGACAGGAAGCATTTTTTCTCAGATACACAGCAATACGATGGAGCTGTACCTATTGCTGGAACTAACTCTAAATGAGCCTGAATTTGGAGTATCACTGAAATGCTTATGTAAAACTGACAATAGTACACCCCCCTTTTCATAGAAAAATACTACTAGTAAGAACATTCCAGTGACAGGAGGGAAGCAAACATGGTAACCAGCCAGCTCTGACAGGGATCCCAGAGCTAACATGCGATTACCTCAGTAAGACATCATTTAAATCCAGCACGCCTCAGCTTCTCAGTCAGAGAAAACCGGCACAAAAGTCTTTAGGTGCTCTATTTCATCTGTCTCAAAAAGTTCTTAAAAAAGATTAAAAGCCGAGAAAGGGCAAAAACCACATTTAACTTAAATGCCTCATTTATCTGACATCATCAGAAAACAAGGTTGCTGCACAAAAACATTTTCAAGATAACTGAAATATCCTTTTGAATGCCAAACAGCACCTTGTCTCTGATGCTAATCAAAGCAAATGTTTTAGAAACAGAGCACATGGAACATAATTTAATCTTTCCTTGATGACTCAAAATCTTCATGAGGAATCCCCAAAATCTATCCCTTTCTCAGCATTGATTCTAGACTGTTAAGTTTTTACCAGGACCAGTACAGGGGCACCTTAACTGGTTTCTCTCCAGTTTCTCTATATTACTACCCAAAATGATTTTTCTAAAAATAAGTAAATGCATACAAAGATAACTATGTAGCATGTGAATTATGGATGAAAATGACTTGTTGATCCCTCTCCGTCTGGCTCCCACTGAGGATTGAGTCCAAGGCTTCCAACATGCTAGGCCAAGTGCTCTACACTTGAGCCCCACCTCTAGTCCTACTTTTTGATCTTATGCCACCTATCTGCTGCTGCCAAACCTCCCCACTTCTAACCTAAGCTAAGTGGCTTCTGCTCAACTGCGTTATTTCATACACATTTTTCTCTTCCTGCAGAGAGTACTGGGCATATTTTGGCCTTTTAGAGAACTTCTACTTCCAGATACACTGAAGTCACGCTTCAGAAAAACAGGTTTCTTTTTACCACATCATCAGCATAAACCAGTCCAAAAACACTCCTGAGTATGTCTTATAAGGTGTAATCCTAACTTCTTGGGAGCCTGAGATCTGGAGGATAGAGGTTCAAGGCTAGCCAGGGAAAGCAGTTTGTAAGACCCGTCTCCAAAATAACCAGAGCAAAACAGAGTGGAGACATGGCTCAAGCAGTAGAGCACCTGCTTTGCAAACATAAAGCCCTGAGTTCAAACCTCACTCCTACCAAAAAAACAGTCATTCAAGTTCCCAGTTCCCTGATCAGACTGGCTCCATACCCTCATTATTCTCACATGTTACAAGAATAGAGTACCTAGTTTGACGGTGGTGTCCCGAAACATGAAAAAGCAAAACAAAACCTATGAAGTTAAACACAAGACAAAAGGCAAATCGTCAATAACCTGTGAAAAAAATCTACTTCACTAGAAATCAAGATTGAATTAGAGCGGTAAGATACCAGTTGTGTCCTATATTCTGACAAGTGTCTTCATAAAGGGTGAGAACTAATGACAGGGACTTTCAGGAAACTGACAATGATTCCAAGGAAACAGCTGCCCTCCTTCACTGCAGGTAGGAATGTAATCTGGTGCAGTGTTCTGCAGGGCACATTGGCAATATGATTCACAAATACCTTGGCAAGGTAGAACCTTTGTCCAGCAATTCCACATCTAAGAACTTCCTCTAAAAGAAGTAATCACTGATACACTCAAAGATCTCTGTTCATCACAGTGTCACTTCTTTGTAATAGTGAAAACTGCAAGCTACGTCAATACATAAGGGACTGTTTAAAATCAGTCCCTATCCATTATGGTGTATCCATGACAGAATACTAGGCAGACTTTAAAAAATGATGCTGTCATCATTAAATATTATTCTGCATTATATCAAGACAAGCAGGCTGTAAAAACCATCCTGTATGGCTCTACTTACATCAACGAGGGAAATAGTTGAAGCTTTGCCACTAGATATTGGGAGAGTGGTTACCTGACTGGCAGAGGGAGCTTCTGGGGTGTTGGTAGTTTTCTTTTTTAACATTTGAATGATTACTTGGGGGGTGTTCAGAACATGAAAATACATCAAGCTGCACTGGTATACGCATGGAAAGAATGTGCATGATACATCAATGACGTTTTCAAAATATGTTAAATGGCTTGTAGATGGCTCGAATGGTAGAGGGCTTGCCTAGCAAGTGTGAGGCCCTGAGTTCAAACCCCAGGGCTGCTAACAAGAAAAAAAAAAAAAAAAATCGTTGCCAGGTGGCTCATGCCTGTAATTCTAGCTACTCAGGAGGCAGAGATTAGGAGGATCACAGTTCAGAGCCAGCTCCAGCAAACAGTTTGCGAGACCTTATCTCAAAAAAAAAAACCATTACAAAGAAAAGTTAATTATTTCCAAACTTGTATTATATGTATGTTCTTTATAGATCATTTTTCTTTTAAAAAATTACTTCAAATTTTTCTACAGAACTTATTTCATTTTTTATAAGAAGAAATTTAAATCAAAGGTCACATGGCATGCAAGCAGCTGAGTATAGGTGAAAAACTGATTCATGCTTTCGCAGTTTTATTCTTGATTCTTCCATTCAAATTCATGAGCATCTCCTTTGTTCACTGTGCCTACACAGCACAGACAGGGCAGAGGCAAGATCTTCGTAATGTCAGGAAGACCTCACGACCCCAAGCAATCTCCCCAATGGTAAAAACGCTTTCTTTTAATATGTAATAAATGCCAAGAGTACAGTAAGGTCTAAGGGAGGTTGACCTCATAACTGATTTTCAAAATAAGCCCAAAGAGTCTTAAAAAATCAGACAAAATTCTACTCATGTGATGTTCTTGGACACCATCATTACAAACAGGCAGAAATCTTGAAAATTAGGGAAACACACAAGCCCATCCTGGTTCTACAGAGAAAGGCATCCTGGACACGACTACAGTGTGCTCCTGCCAACTCCAAAAACACCTCCCTAAACACCACACTAACACAGGCTTGAGTCACCACCATACTATTACTAATTAGATCCTCACAATAACCCTATGAGATCACAAACAAGAAAAAGGAGGAACAGAGATACAATCAGCATGCAGCATACAGGGTAATTTTGGAAGAACCAGCCCTAGGCAAAATTGCAGAGCAAGCTCTATTTGTCTCTGACCTCCCTGCCCTGTATCCTCCATCTGACAGAGGCAAGAGCAGGAACTAGGAATCCAGCACGGTGGGTACGCTCTTCTTTCAAACTTCAGCTTCCTTCTTTCCACATACCTTACAAAGAGAAGTCTTTTCCTTTTTCTAATCAACTGCTAAACAACTGCTAAGGCATTTCCCAAAGCCAGTATGTGTGCTCTAGACATCCTCTATTTCCTGGCCCAAAAGTTAGTTCTTCCATTTTCCTCTCATCCTCCCACATGCTGGATTTCCCAAGAGAATGGCTTCCTCCTTACCAGTTGCTCCCCCCACTGGTTTCAGCTGCTTAAGGCACATCACATTAGCGGAGTTGCGAATCCTGGTACTAGTGACTCACTCACTTCACTTGGGTCCCTGCTAACTGTCACCTCTTCAGAGTGGCCTTCCCTGACCTCTATTTAAAATAGCAGCCATCATTCTCTATCCCTTTATGAACTGCTTTATTTCATACACATTACCATCTGTGTGACATTTCTAATTATTGCTCTATGCTCTTCCAAATGGTAAGCTGCGCAAGGGCAGGCACTTTTTCTTGTTACTAGGCTAATTCCACACCTACCACAGTAGCTGGCCCACAAAAAGCTCTTGAATGTTTGCTAAATCAACTGCCAGCCAGGGGGCCTTTTTAATATTCAGGGAAGGTAAATCTCACTTTCAAAAACTACTGCCTTGATTTAATGAGACAAAGTGGACAGAGGCAGAGAACAAAAGCAAATCTTAAGGCGTTAATTCAATTTTTACTTAGTGTAAAAATACCCAAATGCTTTAGTTTAAACATGACAGCACAATACGAAAAGGACCTCTAGAAGTTTTCAAAATCAAAACGATTGTTTTTAGTTTTCAAAGTACAGGGTGGGAGAGGGGGCGGGTTTGGAGTCTTTCAGATTTGATTTAGACTAAAATACCCTATCATCACTGCTCACCCCTATAATTCTAGCTACTTGAGGGACTGAGAGAGGATCATGGTTCAAGCCCAGCCTGTGCAAACAGTTCAAGAGAACTTATTCCCCAAAAAACAACCAGAGCAAAAATGGACTGGAGGTGTGGCTCAAGTGGTAGGTCATCTGCTTTACAAGTGGGAAGCTCTGAGTGCAAATCACAATCCCACCAAATAAAGAAATATTATCATCTGACCAGATACCCAGGTCAAGTTAATTTTGTAATCAATATTGACCTGGTCACCTGTACCTTACCCTGGTTCTTTCTTCAGTTTGTTTCCTTAATCTAGCCTGGTCCAGACACTAGGGAATAGGAAAACCTGTCTCAAACTACAAAACTGCCCGGTGGGATTACTAAGATTTAAGCTTGAAGCATGGTTTTTGTCTGTCTTATTGAACCCCAAGACTGTTAGGGTCATAAATATCCTAAGACTGCTTTGCAAGTAGATTAAGCAGGAGTCATAAAAAAGAAACCTAGAAACAAACCCAAGAGCTGTGACCAAGCATTTATATATATGGTGCGGTTTCCTCATCTTGTTTATAAAAGTCTAAGAGAGAAAACCCCAACCTGCTAACAGGTTAAATTCACTGGGATGCTTAACTTTCTTTAAACCACTTAAATAGTGCTTAATTCCATTCAGGTCACATAAACAACCTTTTCAAAGAGCTCGAGTTTGTCTAACAGGACAAAAGATTGTTACTAGCATAATTCTAATATAATCTCTTATAAGCGTGAGGCAGTTTTGAGGACTGTCAAATACTTTTTAAGTTAAGATTCAGAGCCATCTGTCAAACCTGGAAAAACTCAACCTACTTTTGAAAACTTTCGGAAAAGAAAACAGCCGTTTCTGCAAGAAGTGGTAAAAAAAAAAACCAACCCCAACGTACTTTAAAAACAAGACGAGGATTACCTCATCTTAAAAATAGTTGTGTAGGTCCTCGGGCGAGCCCTTAAAAAACAAGACAAGAAAAACAGGGGGCTCCACAGTAGTGTCCATCACCAAACAACCCACCACCGGGGCCACTGTGAACGCAGATTTCATTCCCTCGAGAGTGAGAACAAATGGACCGAGTTAAAAGACCTGGGGTTCTCCCCCGGGTTCCCCGGTCCCCCCACCCCCGATCCCCCGGACGCTTCATCAGCAGCTGTGCCCCTGTCACATCTGCATTCTTCAACCCGCTTCCATCGCGATCGAACAACACACAACACCGGGTCTCCTCCGCAAAGTTCTTCCCTAAAGGCCAACCCGGCTCCAGGCACCAAGACCCCGAGTCCCGGGCCCGAGCGCGCCCTGCGGCGGGCGGCGACAGGTGCAAAGGTGAGAGAGGCCGTGCCACGCCACGCCACGCCACGCCACGCGGAGCAGAAACGCGCCCTCGAGCTCGCCCGACGCTAACTAACGCTTCGGGATGAAAAGCGCCGTTTGTTCCGTCCCGGGACGTCCCCGCCCGGGAACCCCCGCGGCCTCCCGCCCCGCGCGGCCACGAGCCCCAGACCTCACCTGCCGGACCGGCCCCGGAGGCGCGGGCGGGCGGCGGGGAGCGCAGCCGCAGCCAGAGGTGCAGCGCGGCCCCGAGCACGCACGGGCACAACAGCACCAGCCAGTTTCGCATTGGCCGTCCCCGCCGGCTCCACCTCGCGCCCCCGCCGCGCGCCGGGCTGTCCCGCGTCCCGGCCGAGAGCCACAGGGTCTGCGAGCGCCGAGCCCGACCAGGGGCGCCCACGCGGCCCAGAACCGCACCTCAGATTCCTCCGACCGCGGGCGGGGGCGGCTCCGCGGCCGAGGCCCCGCCCCCAGCTCGCGCGGCCTCCGCCTACCTCGCTCTCCCCTTCGCCCCGCCTCTCAGTTCGTGTCCCCGCCCACGCACGCCGGCTGGCCGGGAGCTGGAGTCCCGCGCTGGGCCCAGACGGGGGGGCGCACCCAGGATCCCGACTGCCGGAAACCACATTTCCCATGGTCCCGTGCGCGTCGTGCCTCGCGATGGCCACGGAAGCGAACCGCGAGGCGCTCACAAAGCATGCGCATCCTCCTCGCACCACTGCTCCCCGGGGGTCGAGGTAGGCACTGCGCACAGGGAGCATGCGCATCCTTCCTGACGCCATTCCCTCCTCCATCGGGGCGGGCACTGCGCACACAGAGCATGCGCGTTCCTCCTCGCGCCACCGCCATCTAGTGATCACGGCTGGTACTGCGCTCACGGAGCATGCGCATCCTTTCCGGAGCCGGCGAGGCCCCCTGGCCCTAGGGTAGCGGGTCTTGAGCGCAGAAATGGTAGGATCGTTCGCGCTCGGGTATCCCCGACTTTCCGTCAGATTCCGTCCTCTAGGAGTGAGGGCGGCGACCAGTCGGGGCTTGCGGCCATCGTGTGGGACGCGGGACCCTGAGAGAGCTGCGGCCTCAGCTGGTCCGTGGTCCCCGCGAGTGCCCGAGGCGGATAATCTGCCAGGAAGAGTGCCTGGGCTACTACGGTTTTGGGTTTTTGTTGTTGTTTTTTGGTGGGACTGGGCTTTGAACCCATGGCTTTATTCTTCGAAACCAGGTGCTCTACCGCTTGAGCCACACCTCCAAGTCCATTTTGCTCTGGTTGTTTTGGAGGGAGCGGGAACTGTTTACTCCGACCGGCCTCAAACCTGGATCCTCCTAATCTCAGCCTCCCAAATAGCTAAGATTACAGATGTGAGCCCCCGGCTCCCGGCAGGGGTGATTTTTAAAAGTTCCTCGGAACTGTGCAAACAGAAGGCAGAAAATACACTGGGAAAAGATCACACTGTGAGAGTCGACTAAAGTCAGTCTTTTCTGTCAAAGGAGTTACTGTGTAGTATAAATGTCATTGTGTGGATGCTAGCTAACCTCCCGAATTGCTGCCGCGTGCTTTGAGAAATGCTGCTTGACCTTGCAAGGTACTTGTGGTCAAAGAGCTGTTTGTTAATTTCAAACTGCTTAGTTAAAGATGAAATTTACTTGTCCTGCTTCAATCCCCCTCACCCCACGTGCCCCCTTTTCAAATCAGCCAACCCCAAGGATTGTGAACCCAAACCTGTCCATCAACGTCAGGGGCAGACTTGCATTACAGATAAAAACCCAGTGGAATTCCCACGTGGTGGACCGTGGCACGCCCTCCTGCAGAAGTAAATTTTGCCGTGCCTATTGACTTCTGAGTTGTGTTGTCTCTGTTGTGACACCCCAATATCCCGAATTAATTTCTAACAACTCTTCATCATGGTGACCAGAGTCCCCAGTGACCTTCCAGTCACCGCCCTCAACACCATTGTCACCTTAGTTATAGCAAAGCGGCCTCTGTTGAAATTACTTTGTATTGGATTGCCTTGCAATGTTTGCTGTGCTGTTTTAATTTTGAAATCTATTTGGTATAATGATTGTAAAAACTATAAGCCTAAGGAGTGTATACTGTTGCATGTACTTAATTAAAATAATCTAACTGTATGAGGCCCCAAATAGTTTTTATTCTTTAAAAGGGCTAGGAGGGTAGCTCAGTGGTAGCATGCTAGTCTAGGGTTGATCCCCAGCACTACAAAAAAAAAAAAAAGAGGGGCGAGGGTGTGTTGTATCACTTTAAGTTATTTAACAGGGCTGTGGGTGTGGCTCTGTGGTTAGAGTGCTTGCCTGGCATGTGTGAGGCACTGGGTTCCCTCCCCAGCACTGGAAACAAACAAAAAACCCTCTTAAAAAAACCATACTACAGTTTATTTTTGAGTTACATTTTTGCACTAATCTGCCTTTCCATCAGCACCAAAATACTCTCATTTCTTACAAATATTATTTCTGATGAATTTTATAATCATTGTTCATCGTTCTCCTTCCACCTAAATCGTATGTTTGATACAAAACTAATGTATGTTCGTTGTAATAAACGAAATGTAAATAAAACTTGGACTGTGGTGGTGGCATACCTGTAATTCTAGTGCTCTGAAAGCTGAGGCAGGAGGATTGCAAGTTCCAGGCCAGGCTGAGCTACATAGGGAGTTCGAGCCCAGCCTGTGCTATGTGAGACCGTGTTTCAAAAAACAAACCAAACAAAAAATCAAAACCAGTCCTCCCAAATGTAAGGTTGGCATCTTCCATTAGCCAACCCCAATCTTTCGGATTTAATCAAGATAGCCTAGATATTTTTTCTCAATGTTAGTCAGAGTTTCCCCAAGTTCTTTTCCAGTGATGGAAAGGGAGGAGCAGCTTCCCTTTTAATCCCCATAGATGAAAGCTGAGCCCTTGACCTGTGTGACTCTAGAAATGCAGCTCCCTGGCCACATGCTGACATGTGCTCCAGAGGTGCTCCCGGCCTCCCCACCCCGAGTTCATCCTCTGATCACCTCTGGTCCACACTGCTGTACTAGCCTTCCCTTTCAGTCACCTCCCTCACACCACATCTCCAGGCCAGAGCACCAGCTCCTTCTCCTTTGAGTTTAGATATGGACATAGTGTTCCTTGTGCCCCATCATCACAGCTAAGACCTGGCTCATACATTTAAAAGACTAAGAAGGATTAGTAAAAGAAAGTACAGAAAGGCAAATTTAAAACAAGACACGATAAAATTGCTCCCAGGGTCCACCATTATTAGCATCTACTTAATGCCCATCTCTTGCCTTAGTCCTTGTTCCTTTGCTGTCACTGCCAAGGACCTGATGGGTCATTCTTGTTTATTCAGCACAAGTACAGCATCTTCATATTTCATTCACATTCTCCCCCAATCAGAGTGCTGCTGTGAAGCCCAGGCTGGATTGGAACTGGTTGAGCTCCTAAATTCTAGGATTACAGATGTGCAAGTGTCCTATCACACCTGGCTCCAATTCTAATTCTTTATCAAGTTTTTCTGAAGCCTCAGATGTTCATTTTCTTCCTCAAGCAGTCATCTTGCCTGGTTACTTGATAAATTTCACTTGTTGTGAAAGGCTGGGCCATCTCAGAAACCATTCAGACATTCTTTCCCGGGTCTCAGGGTTCCTTTGCCTCAGACACACACTGCTCTGCCCGTGGGCACCATTTAAATGCCTCCTTCTCTTTCTTTTTCAGCCAATAATTGAATTTTAGTTGCCTGTTCAGGTGCAAACAGTGTTTGCAGAAGGCGACCTTTTACACTAGCCTATGGAATTCTTAGCATCCCTGTCTGAAGCATGGTGACCTTTGGGTTTTGATTTCGCTACTGGTTTGGGGGTTCTTCTGAAAAGAGTAGGAAAATAGACACTGCTAGATTGTTCACCAAAATATGCTCGAGGAAGGTGATGAGGGTCTGCTCAAGGTGAGGAGGGCGGTGGGGATGAGGTAGAGACGTGGACTCCAGCAAGCTAGGATAAGATCTCTATAGGATTGCGGCTTTTACTCTGAAATAAATGGAGAGTGAACACAGGTGGATTTTGAGCAGAGGGGTGACATTGTTTGACTGCATTTTAGCAGGACCATCTCACTGCTGTGCCACAAGTGGCCTGGCTAAGAGTGAGGATAGTCTACCAAGGGGAGCAGAGGAGGGGTCCAGGGTCAGTTTTCCTGCGACAAGCTGCAGTGGCAAGAGCGTCCTTAGACACTCATTCTGAGGCCCAGGCCTGAGAGCAGGGTGGACCAGAGATCCATTGAGGATGGAGAGTGGTCTGCCAGGACTCTCAGTGTTGTCTCTCCCTGGAACTGCCCTGGCTGGAGGCTGCTGCTCACCCCAGGGTACAGTCCTCTCCCCTAGGCAGCCTGCACCTGGGTAAAGAGACTTGGGATATTCTAGAAGGCCATCCTGCCATCCCTGCTACAGCTGCATCACACCTTCCCTGGCTGGGTTCTGCCTCCCCCGATCACTCTGGGTGCTCCCAAGTGCTGTCCTCCATAAACCTATTTCAGAGCCTGTGCCAGGAAGCAACCCATGACAGAGCCTGATAGAACGTAAGCAAGACCATGACATTTTGCAACCTGAAACTCCACAAAGGCTGCCCAGTTCTATCACAAGAATGCAAGTCCTCACAGTGGTCCGTGGACCCCATGATCCAGAGCCCTGCCTCCCTCTTAACTGTTACCTTCCAACTGTCACCTCGCTTCAGAGCCACATTGGCCCAGACACATGACGGGAGCCATTTTTGCCTATGTTCCTTCTGCTCTTCCTCCAGGTATCTGCATAAATCACTCCTTCTTCTAGTCAGCTAAAATGTCACCTTTTCAGCCAGCCCTTCCCCGCCCCTCCATTTAAGTTCCTCTGTCACATCCATTCTGACATCTCGAACTTACTGCCCAATTCACTAGTTAATTTTGCATATGGGTTATTGACTACTGTCTACAGAGGGCACAAATGTCCCCTCTGTTTACTGATACTTCCTAGAACCCAGAGTAGTGAATGGCGCTCTGTAGTTGCTTGGTGGGTATTTATTGAATGCATCATTTGGGAGCCCCTGGCAAGCTGATCACAGTAGAATTCCTGGGGTGGGTTATCAACTACAGAACAAAGGTAATCGGAAGCACCAACATTTAGGTGCGAGGAGAGGAAGAAGAAATGATCAGGGATCCCAGGAAGTTGCCAGAACATAGGAAAATCAGAGGATGTCGCAGGAGACCAGAGCAACGCTGGAGGACGGAGAGCAGGCACTGTGTACAAGGCTGTCAACATGAGTGGCAGATAAACTCGGAGTACCTACTGACTTGATGGTGGAGTGTTTAGGGTGGAAAGGACATAAGTGAATAAGAAGTAATGAAGTAACTAGGTGCAGAGGCTCACACCTGTAATCCTAGCTACTAGGAAGCTGAGATCAGGAGGATTGTGGTTTCAGGCC